AAAATGCAATATAAGCCGGTGACGCTTTCTATGTATCGTTGCGTTTCTAAACCGCACAGGGAATGACGAGTGCTCGCGATGTTGAAGCAAAGAACCCGCGGGCCCTCGGGTGGCTCGTGCTTCACGATGTTAAACGTCAAACGCGACGTCACCCATCGGCGCACTGCCTGGCTTGCAACCAGACGCAAAAGAGACCATTTGACAGGCGCTCTTTGATTTCAAAAGGATTTCTTACATTGCTATTGCAGTAATATCTCTATTACTGAATGAAACTAAAAGGGAAATATGCAGGGGTCATACTAATAAGTATTTTAATATTACCTGGGGGTTGTGCACCGTGCAACCTAAGTACTAGCTGCCACTGTGTTCAATAGTTAAATCGTCCACACAAATACAGGCAAAATAGGACCCAAACCAAGCATAGAGTAGAGCCGCCTCGCTGGCTGAGCGTCACCGGCAGGGCCCACTCTCTGCCTGGCTGCATTGCAGCGCGCGCACGAGGGATGAGCGTGTGCGTGCGCATGCGCGGGCGCGCGAGAGGGGCGGGGGGCGGGGGTCCGGGGGCGGCGGAAGGGCGAGCTCCGGCTGCGCCTCTGTGCTCGTCGGCGGGCGGCAGCGCCAGCGGCAGCGCCACCGCTAGCGCCAGAGGCAGCCGCTTGGAACCGCTGCCCATCGGCGACAGCAGCCACGCCCCCTCGGCCTCGCTCTCGCCCGGCCTCAAGCACAAGATGAAGCGCGTGCAGTGGCGCCACGAGGTGGAGGTGGCGAGCTACGCGCTGGACAGCGACGGCCGCGCGCTGCTCACCATGCACGTGGAGCCCTTGCACGAGGAGGCGGAGCCCACGTCCGCGCCCGCGCCCGCACCCCTGCGCCTCGCCAAGTAGCGCAGGTGCTCGCGCGTTCACAGACAAGAGATAAATAGCAAGGTAATTCTAGTGCCTCACAAATGTTGCAAACTCCTATGCCATGAGGGGCACGAACACAATCACATTTTCCCCCACGGAACTTGACACATTACCTTCTAACTCAACTATACTTCGTAAAGCTACGTAACCGACGTAATATCCACAGGTTGTAAATTAAGCTTATTATCAACGTTCCAGTCATTATAACAATCGTTTAATGCTTTCTTGTCCTGGCAACATTCTTATTATATCACAGGAGTCGAATATTTAGTTGCTGCTAAGGTTAAACTCTCGTAACAAGTGGGTCCTTTCCCCAAATCATTGTCACACCAACGCTGTCCCAAAACATTTTAAACAGCTATTCAAGGCATTCACATCACCATTTTGCTGCATATCTAAAAGTAAATATAAAATATTTCCAAGAATATATTGAAGATAATAATGAAAACAATGTTAATATTGATCATTGTAGAAATCACGACCATTGATGAAATATAAAATTAGTTCCCGGGATGTTCAATATGGATAAAGAAACAATTAGTTACACCAACGTTTCGAAATATTTAATTTCTTTATAGGTGCTTACTAATGCACATTAAAGTCCAGCCTCATTACCAGCCATCAAACCCAACTCCATGTAGAATTGCTACAAAGTGCCAAAAACTATCGTCTTTCGCGTACGATATACAAAAGATTAGAAAGCTTTAAAAACATGATAATTTGTAACTATATTTCAGTGTCAAAATATTATTGGGTGCTACGGCAATATATACAAATATATTATATATACAAATGTATTACAAAAAGTGATTTAAAGGCGGGAAAATGGTGAAAATTGTTTTTATTTTTTTAACTGCAGTTGAAAAAAAATACCAAAAAATCCACAACAATATGTTAGAAGAGAAACATTTGAGATTTTCTTCGAGCCTGCTACAGTGTTTTAAGAGACATAAAAAAATAGTTTTAACAATTTTTTTTCAAAAATATTTTTTGCGTTTGAGTTTGACCCTGAGAAAATATTTCTAAAAAATGTTTTTCTGATAGCATAAATTATTTTCTTATTTGCCATTTTTTAAAATAAGATAAAATAGTGTTTAGTTCAAGAAGAAAATGAAAAAAAACAAAACATTTTGGCTGTACAAGGTTGTAGTGGAACGGGGTCTAAAAACATCTACTGCTAATATGTCATTTGATTCAGGAGAACTTTTTATCACCTTATCCGAGGGTACCTTTTTGCAGAACAAATCCCAGAGCTCCGATAACTATTGGGCGACCTGTGCTTACGCCCCACATCCGGCTATCTCAATTTCCAAACTCTTGTATTTACGATGTTTCTCTGCCTCCTTGGTAACGATGTTTCGATCGCACGGCACAGCCACATCTACAAGTAGACATGATTTTTCTCCATATCCCGAAAAAAAAAAAATCATACGATTTTGGCAAACAAACCGGGCGATTAGTTTGAATTTGTTTATCGTATAGTATAGTATAGTGCACAACCCGACAGACGTCACCGGTTTTGGTGAGTGTTCGTACCACTTGGAGCATGTGTATTGAACTTCGAGGACGGTACAGATCAGCCAATGACGGTAACTACACACCCTGTCGTGTGTTTTCAGGAAATTTGGTCTTTGCTGGAATTGGGCAAGCTGAGACAATATGAGCAATGGTTTCTCCTTGTTCCTGGCAAATGTGGTATTTATTTTGGGAAAATTTGAAAAGCCCATCATCATCGTTATTATTAATGTTGTTGTTGTTATTATTATTATTATTGTTGTTGTTATTATTATTATTATTGTTGTTGATGTTATTCCATTCGCCTGGAGTTGTCACCTTTCTTAGTTCAACATGAAAGTCCCCTATTTATGGGTAGTAATATAGAAACAATTTATATATCTGTGTGTGGTGTGTGTGTGTGTAAAGTGAATGAAAAATTGTGTATGTGTATAGGGGAGGCCTCTTTGGAATCTGCTAGGGTTCTCAAGAGCTCTAAAACCGGCCTTGATGTTAGCAATGCCATTTCTTAAACAAAGAACTGAAACGAAAGCATTAAATAAGGAGAACAATTAGACGAGTAAAACGGTGAACTATGAGGAGCATTATGATTCAGAAAAGAAACGAATATGCTGCCTTACAAACCTACCTTTAAAATGTTGTCCCTAAATTCGAACTTAAATATTACAATTAAATTAATCGAATTCTTTACCTCCAAGAAATCCGCTGCTTAGCTGCATTGCTACATCCTTGTCTTGGCATCGTGCGTTCACTCATTCAACGACCTCCGATCTCACCAATGAAACTCTCTGCAAGTAGACGATATTTCAAATTAACCTGCAGCCCCCATTCCCGGCTGCAGACGGGTGTCTAGCATGAATCTGATTAACCTCTCCTGTTGGCTATATTATCGCTTTTTTTTTTACAGAAATTCGTCGGTCCCGGACAATTAGGAGCTTGTTTAATCAGAAAATTTCTTATTGATTTGTCAGTCCGTAGAATGATTGGTCACGAAACGCAAAGCAGAAATGGGTTTTCAATAACTAAAACAATTTCTAAATTAGTATCTATAGTTGAGATATAATAATAGCAGATAAGTTATACAAAAATTAAAAGTTTGTCTATATTGAACTCATTTTGCTGTTTTATTGATTTTACTAATATTTTTTTCCTTAAATACGATGGCCATTTAATGGGGCAGGTAGATCTGAAGAGTTCTACTGCTTACATTTTCTAATTTAACATCGTGTAAACAACGTTTGAATTTGGCCTTAATTCTGGTACAAATCACGTCTCTAACTCTTTCGCTTCATTACGCTGAGTCTTTTCTTAACAGAACCTGACCTAAAGACCTGAAGCTGTCAAATTGAAACGTGAACCGTTCTGTTTCAGTGACTCTTCTGACTCCTTGCTTGCACCGAAAACGCCAGCTGACCAACCCCTCGATGAAACACAGAACACAGCATCCTCAACTAGGTCACGAGACCGTTAAGTTGTCAAAACTCAATTAATTGACATATTAATTTATTCTACATTAATATAATTTGTTTATAGTTTATTTAATGCCAGTTTTTTTAACAGTTGCCTTTTGTACACCTATCTTTTGTAATACACATACACAAACAGCATTGTGCCATGCATAGCTAAATACATTGGAAAATATGTTCCTGTGTTTATTCCGTTATTCAGTGTAAGTCTACATTTAAAAGTTAAGGAGTGACATTTAAACCAATTAACAGTAGACATTGGTGGGAGTCAAGCTACTGTATAGTTGTGGAATTTGTAATTAACTATTTTGATATGAATTATTTACTTCCGATGTTCTAAAATTCTAGAAAGTAAACTCTTTCGTAAAGAGCAAATTCCAACATCCCTTTCCTGCAGCTTGAGATGCGGCCGTACTCGTTGCTCCGGCGGAATTTCTTATACAACAGCGCCTGGGGGTATGCAACGTGTCCAGCGTGTAGGTCGTGTGCCGCACGGACAGGCGTCATATCTTCCAACAGACCCAAACACAACCATATACATCAAGTGGAGCGTGTACATAAAATCTTGGTAACGCATTTTGCTTTGTGTTAGCAAAAGGACATACTACATAGCGTATGCATACACTAGGATCTTCTGCGATGCAGGAAATACTATGTGACATAAGGTTTTACTTTCCGAGCCTATATAGACGACGGAGGAGACAAAACTAAAAATGGCGGAGAAACGACCTGTGTAGAAGACGGTACAGAAGATGACGGATAAGGGGAAGGAATGTGAGAAGGTGAAGTAGGTGGAAGACATAACAACAAATGTAACATCAAAGCCAATTGGAAGAGCGCACCACACACGTAGTTTCCTTAATCTGGAACTAAAGTGGAAGATTCGAAGATGTCTACGATCTATTTCTCACCACAAATACACAAACCAGCGATTCGCTCAATGCCTTAGATATCATTGCAGGCAGCCACACTTCTGAAAACTAAATATTTTGGGTGCCGGAAGAAATTTGGTTGCAAAGATAAAATTTAAAGGAATTGATATGAGGAATATAAGTCTGCTACTGTATTACAAAATTCCACATTAATTATTATATGATTATAGGGATTAAATGTAGCTACATGCAAGAAATAATAATAATTATGTTCTAATTATTTCATAACATTTATTTAACCCACAAACAATATTTATAATAATTATTTTATAAAACAAGCTAGACCAGCTAGCCATAATCAAAAACAGAATATTAAAAACAATCCTTACCACTGGCAAGCACAACCCAAAACTAAAGGGGAGCCAATCACATTTTTGGATCCCTGGGATAACAATTTTATATTTAAGTAAAGTTCAAAAAGAACTATTTTCTCATAATTTTATTTTATTAATTACTTTAAATAAATATAGTTTTCTTACAAATACTTTATATGTGAAAGGATATTAATTATACTCTTTATGATGATTTTGAGAGTTTTGGAGAAATGGCAAAGATACTTTGTGTGCAGTGCAATAATTCTCTTATTACACTTATCAACAGCAATAACTACATACATCTGTATTACCACACCCTGAGTTGATTTGTGGCAAGAACAACTGATTCTTTGAACTCTGAAGAATTGTTTTAAAGCTCTAACAACGCACAAAAAAAAAATCTTCATATTAAATAAATACACACACAAAATGGGAAGAAATATGTTGTTTTTCAGCTCATGGATTTTGATTTCATACATCATTTTAAAAAAATCACAAGTACAAAACAAACAATGAACAAAATATTCATTATTTTGTAATATGTATACCATTATTCTATACAAACAATAAACTGTAGTAAATTACATTGGCATTTTCTTGCCTTATAATTTTTCTTTGAACCAAATTCAAAATAATATTTGAATTACTCCTTAATAATTGAGATGATATAGTATCATAACTTTTAAGAAATTACAATTATAGATTTTTCTGACATTTAAAGGGGTAATTTTCCAAGAATATAATTTTTTTATCAAATATTTTATACCCAACCATTAAAATTTGAATTAAAAAAGAGTCCACTTTCTGCAACAGAATAGGACTTTCTCCAAAGTGTCGAATTTATATTTCCGTTTTTTTTCTAGTTCTACATATCAATATATTCTTGAGATGTGTTTTAATTTTGCTGCCGAATGTGTTAAAAAATGGCGTTTCTCCTAAGCTACAGGGCATCCGAAACCATTGATTTCTATCCCAAACAATACGGAATGTGGATTCTTGGCGTTTCTAAAAATATGTTTCATGAAAATACGACATTCTGAAAGATTACTCTTCATTCTCATTGTGAATGGAAATTTTGATGAGTGTATTAATCACAATTTTGCTTCTTAATGTCATTTAATTCTTAACTTATATTATTTCGATGCTTCATTGCATGATAACGTGCACTGCAAAGTTCCAAAATAATAGAGAAAGCTGAACTACGCATCATGATTGCATTGGCGATCACGAGCACCAGAAGTAAAGAGCAGGGCGCCATCTGACGACCTGCAGCTCTGCGCGCGCGGCCTCTTTGTAATCACTACCAACGAAGTTGTCACGAATCACGTTAATCGCGCGCACCGAATCGCCCTTTGCACTCGGAGCAACGTCGAGAGCTCTGCAACGACGGCCTACGACTCCTCATGATGACAGAACCTCCTGCTTGACGAGTAGCGTAGAGGAGGAACGTCCACAATCGGCTGGCATCCTCGCCACAACGCACGAGGGGCGACGCTTACTGCCAAGAACGAAGTTTGTACTTATTCCTTGCGGCGGCTAATTAACACATATTTAGATACTTTCAGAAGATGTTTTATATACATGGTCAGTTATTTCTGGCGAAAACAGTGGGTTCAGCACAATACGAATAACACCGTCCTACGCTATTTTGCAGAGGCGCGTTCCGCACAGATGGACACAATATGGTACGTTCATGCGAAGCCTAACGAGAGGGGGCAAGAACATTTCTGAGCCCCCTTTTCTATTAAAATTAATGCAAACACTTGCCTCAAAATATGTTGTTTTTTTCGTATACTGAACAGACATTTCTTACCTGATGTATTTACAAAGAAATCCTCATGAGAACTAACTCCTTCATTCGTTCATATTTAAAGAATTGTGGGAAATCTATAGGTAGTAAATCCACTTTCCATCGTGGATTGGATTTAGCTTGTGCTTTGTCAAGGCATCCAATAAAGAAGTCATAGCAGGGAGCAACACAATCCAAATCAGCTACTGTGAAGACATATCTGGAAAAAAAAATTACAGAATACAGAATTTATTTTCCTGTATGGTCCTATACATAAAAGCTTCTATTCCCCCAACATTTCAAACAACAGCTGGTTAATTTTTAGGCTGAACTTCTTCATTATCCTTATAAGAAATATTTAGGGTACCTCACAATCCCAGATAAAAAATCAAAAAACAAACATCATAGCAATTAACAGGGCTTGATTTATAACATTTTAGATTCAAAAACATATAGGAACCAAATATTAAAACTACACCAAAACTTTCTCTTATTTTCTATTTGACTGGACTTTCTGGAATGTGTAAGTACATATCTGAGGGAATGTTTATGCTTACGATGACATTAATAATAGTATTACATGTTATAAAAATTATACGTTCATTATAAAATAAAGATGTGTATTTCAGCACACACTTTGAAAAAATTAAAATAATAGAATGTTTTTGAAAAGTTCTAGCCCAATTGTTACTTGGTTAGGAAAAATTGTTTTCATACAGAAGTTGTAGGAAATTTTATCCTCTATAAAACAGATTTGAATGATTTTTTTACAAGACTTAGAATAAAGAGTTACAAAACCAAAAATTCAGAAAACTAGTGGATTTCAGACCTCCTGGAGTTAGCACAGTGTCTGGGAGGTCGAAAACTTGGGGTTTTAACTAGTACCTACATACCAAATACAAAATACCAAAAGAAAAAGTTTTATGACTTTTTCCAGATAAATTAACTAATACATGCAAACTGAACTACAAGTGGATTTTTAATGTACTGTACTTTATTACAAGAGAAAGTAATTTTCCTCCATTTACACTTTCTCTCACAGTACAATTTTTTTCTTGAAACCTTAAAAATTGTGGGTGGGTATGTCTATAATTATATAGGCAAGTGTGCACCTCCCTTTCTACCCCCCTCCCCCAATCAACATAAGAAATGCCTACCACAATCATTTTTAAATTTATCAAAAATTAAAACATCAATTTAAAAGTTACCATTGACTAACCTCCACCAATCAGAAGAATCAAACCTAATTGTCTTAGATAAAAAGTAACACTAACTATACGTATAAATCTTTTTATATACAGAAAAAAAAATTAAAAGTTAACCTTATTGCTTCAAAATGCTGCTTACAATTTACTTATTGTTATACTAAGCTTGCTCATTAGTTTACTTATGTCACTATTGTATTCATTCCATGATTTTATCTTTTGCTACAACATAATTACAATTACCTTTTTTCAAGGGCAATGAACACAGTCTTCTTTGGAGGCACATTCATGATTCTCTCTAATGTTCTCACAAATGCCTCTGTTAGATCATTATCATACACAACTGGTAAATAAAAATGAGCAAAAATTATGAAAAGCTCATGAGCTACTATAATCACAAAATGCTTAATCTGTACTCGAGATGAAAGAACATCATTTTAATAGGAAGGAATTAAAAACACAAATCAAAAAATTCAAAATCCTTTCAGATATTTGTACAAACTGGTTAAGATGAATAATTACATACCAAATTAATAGCAAGACAGAGTAACATATATGTTAATAAACCTGTTTTGCAACTTTTAATACTAGCTTCTCAATACAAAATTTGTAGGATGAATCTGAAGAGATCCTACAATTTAAATTAACATGATATTCATCCATATCACTATCCAAAACATTCGATCAATTTTCTCAATCTTGAAATATTAAGGATTTCTGTTGAATGAAAAAGAAAAAAAATTCTTCCAATTTTGAAATTTAAAACTAATAGATAAAAAAATCATTAATTTTTGTTTAAATATTGCAACTTTCAAATTATTGTTTTAAAATTTTTACTGGCAATATTTTTTTCAACAAATATTTGTAATATGACTAAAATTATCTCGTTGACCATCAATTTTCAAAATATTTATTTGTATTCACAGTCACATAAAACAGTTAATGTTTCTAAGTTTGCAAAGACCTGAAAATTCAACTTACCATTTATCTGCCATTCTGTTATTCCACAATGAAATAAGAGCAAATGTTTTTTTCCTTATACAGTTCAGAGCCATGAATATGAATTTCAATTTCTTCAATAAAAAGTTTCATAATTATATAAAATCACAATGACGCACATTTTATAGGATAAAATGAAGGGAGAGAAATAAGTGAGAAAGGCTACTTTCTGTATGTCTTTGAAAAATATAAAATTTACAGAAAATAATCTCCAGTAAAACAAACTTAGGGAGAACGGAAAACATCAATTTGCTCCCTATGAAAACTATGTTCTTTCACCCCACAATTTTATATTGCCTTACCATCTGCAACAATAACTACAGAGACGACAGTTAGTTTAGCTTCAAGGTTGTTAGACCACTGGCGTGCATAGAAATCAAGACCAAGCACAGAGTATTTGGCTTTAATATACTTATTGTTCCGTGCAAAGTTAGCTTTAATGAGTTCCAGAATTGTGCCGATGTCAACATCTAATTAACAAAAGTATAAAAATTAAAGAAAAATCAGCAAAACAAAAGACACAAGAGAGAAAAAAAAGGTTTTGATAGTGGCTAATCTGTCACTCCTTTCATTGAGATGCAATCTTGAGAGGTGAAAAATATTATTACACTGATTTATTATGATACAGGTATTTCGTTTATTAACTGCTAATCCATCACATTTTGTCTAAGAAAATCCACATTTGAGAGACTGCAACATTTATACACAGAAATTATATAAAAAAATATGATTATATATAGCATTTATGAATTCACTAAATAATTTGGAAGTTCAATGTGAAAATGATCAAGAATATTGGGCAATGCCCAATTTAGATTCCATGAAAGACAATGATAAAAAGAGATATTGAATTTCACATTGATATTTTGTTTCGTCATGTTTCATTAACAAAACAAAGCTTTTCATTTACAAATTAAATAGCTTCAATTATTTTTCTTGTGTTACCTAAAACCTTTTGTTCTACTAATTATTCACAATAAGGCAACCATTGTAGAGTGGGTCTGATTCTTTCTTTAACTCACAATTTTGGTACAACTTCCCCTTAAAACTCAAACATTTAGCCATTAAATTTCAACTTTCAAATGCAATTTGAGACTACAACTTTCCACTGAAACCTAATGGGACAATGGCAACAAAATTTAGAGACCTGGCTTAGCTTTGCGGGATATCTATGAGATGATGAGTGACGATTTTATGGGATTCCTCGCAGTATGACATTCCTACCATGCCACATTTACCAAGTGGCAAAACAAACGATTCAAGGGGGTGATCACCAATCAAAAATATCCATTCCATCCAGACTACAACCATTATAAATAGTTGGAGCCTATAATAATTAAATCGGTGTAATACGTAAAAGATATTTAATATTTTGGCTGTGTTAGGCATGGCATATGAGTGTAACTGTATAAAGCATAATGAGTGTGTTAAACTAAATGTGAAAAATACATGCTGTGTACTGTTTGTTGTATGTTACATGTTATGTAGGATGTTTTGGAGAAAATTAATGTATTACATGTACATTCAAAAAGTAATTATTATCTAAATTTCATAATAATAAACAAAATTCATCAAAACAATAATAATTCATTTTTGTTCACACAATAAACACATTGAGTTTTTCGTAGATTGAATTTAATTATATTACATCATATTAAGCATGTAAAATTTATTTTCTCCAAAACAAACTTTTGCTTTAGTATCCTAGGTGCCATTTAGTAAAATGAATACCAAAAAGAACACCTCCTATATTTACTATTACAATTCATTTGCTGTGGCTACTGTTTTGCAAAATGTGTCCTTTCACTGTCACAATCATTAAATAGTGGCAAATCACTTGTAACCTGGAAACAGAGAAGACTCAAATGTACCAAATAATCATGTTTCAACCACATCAACCACTGACAAAGAGAATCGAGCTCAAAATTAATGTTTCATTAACCCTCTCATGCATAATTTTTAAATTTCACTTTAAACATTTTTTATGGTTTCTTCATCAAACTGCAGCTTAAGAACAGCAGAATATTTGGTGCAAGATATAAAAAAGTTCATGTACGCACCCCCCCTCCCACACACACCCGAGCGAGAGCGAGAGTAGGGCAGAAAATTTCCTGACAGATAATGTTAAAAGGAAGACAAATTTTACTGAATTCGAAATTCATCTCTGTTCAACCTCCACATGTGCTTTACCAATTCAAATCAAAGCACTACCCCTATGGGAAAATATGTGACTAAGACATTTAGTCCATTTGATACCAGACATTCAAGCGTAAAAATTGAGAACTCTGTAACATGAATTACTATTGAAAGTACCAATATTGAATAAAAAAGATGTCCACAAGGACTATGCATGAGAGGATTAATTTATTTCTTTTACATAAATGAATCTCTTTTAATACAAAATGCACTTGAGTAATTCCAAAATTAAGTAGTTCGAACACAAGACAAATTACGTTTAAAGCTTCACTTATTTACTAAATTTACACAGTTAGGAATCAAAAATAACAACAATATAACACTAACAATTATGTCAACCTGCAAGATCTACATTTAGGGAAGAAAAGTTTGTACTTACTACGGAAAATGGAAGATAGACTTTTTTATCAAGGAAATTTTGAAAATTTATTCAACAGTAGAAAAAGACATTCATAAAGTTTCTTATTAGCTTTTATAAGTAAAAATAACATTTATAAACATAACAAAGTGTGCAAAATATAAATTATATAATATAAATATTGTATTATACAAAAGAGACCTTGAAGAACAACACCCTCCAGTAAAAAAAAAATCATCGCAAATTTTTTCTGAAGCGATATTGGTATACACTTGCCAATTTGCCCTGGTGAATTTAAAAGCCTTCGTTCGAAACACACATACAGAAATAATCTGAAAATTTTCCTGTTACACCATACATTCAACAGTACAAAAGAATACATACATCATAAACATGCATCTACTTCAATATAAACTGGTATTAATAATTTGCATGTTCTGTTCCATGTTTAAAACCCCCCAAATGATTGTTGGACACAAAGGACTGACCCAGCCCAGGTAACCAGCTCTAAATGAATATATTTTTTTTCTTTTTCCTTTCTTTCCTTCATGCTTTATTATTATTGTTTTTCATTTTTAGTCTTCTCACACTACCATTTTACAAAATTAATTAGCATTGTACTGAATAATTGAATTTTAATTTTTGTGTTGTATTTAGTTTTTAGAAATACCTGTATTGTATAATGTATGATTATGTAGGTAGACAGAATTGATATGAAACAATTATGCATAATTATCATTTAAAATCCCACATGATTCACAAGCAAGTCAGCATTAAGCATTGCAACATATAGCTACAAACATGCAATGACTTTATACTTTTATTGATGATGTATTAGTTTTCTTTTATTATGCACATTTATGCACATAAAATTGAATTATGTTAAAATGAACATCACGGGTCAAAGAATTATCTAACTATCAATACATAGGAAAATTCCAAAGGAATTGAAAGAATGACCGATATAAAAATAGCACAAAAGATTTCTTGCAATATTCGTGTTTGACCAAAATTAATTTCTGTGGCAAAGAGGTAGAATTAGAATGAATAGAAATTACACCAAGGAGTTACAGTGGTATACAATTACCTTGTACAAGTACCTTGAAGGCCTGTCAATGGAACGATTAAGACCGTCACTCTCAGTCTGTAGACTAACTGAACCCCAAATTTCATAAAAGATTTAAGAAGTATTCACTTTTTTCCTCATTACAAGACATCAATTGTCGTTTTCAAATGTGATGTCAGCTGGAGAAACCAGCAATATGATCAAATGTTTTCTCAGAGATATTGTAAACATTGCTTGTTCTTTATTTATGGCTTTCCAGCAGTTGCCAATATCTTTATGTTTATTGAACACGTGCAACACTAGGGGTCAAAGTGATTAAAAGTCAACAAAATGATCAATCAAAGTGAAAGTCAAAATAATCAATAACGGTTTTATCAGTGTTGAGGATTGAAATTTTCTGTAAAAGAGTTTTGCTCTACTCTTATTTTACATACGAGGGTATACTCAAAACAATCTTTTTCTTCATTACATACTTTGCAAAAGGCAAAGCTAACATCTACATAATTACTCTTCAGTAATTAGGAGTCAATTCTTGCTCTTGTCCCAAGGTCTCTACTGTTCTATTATCTTCATTTTTGCATATTGACAAATGATTAGATAATTCTGTATGTTCAATAGATGCCTACTATTAGTCCCATCCTTCCAGATCTGAATTCACTTTTCCCTGAAAGTACACAATCTAGAGAAACTGAAATCTAAGATTTCATTTCTTTTCGCTAAGGGCCCCATTTTGTTGTTTTAGAAAATCTGCCTGAGATGTCATAACAACTAGGAATCTGTACACTTAAGCTTCCATGGCTCAAGTTCATGACTTCTTGGCTGACTTGGTGACACCATCTCGTGGGTTGAGAGACTGACGACAAGGTGTCACCTGGACAGCCAATAAGTCAACAAGGAATCCATTAAAAATTGATTTGTTTACTTTCATGTTTTTGTAAACAATAGAACATATCTATGATCTGGATATACTAATGTAGGGATATGACATATTCGAAGACATGGATCCCTGACAGCCCCCCTTGCGTACTTATGAAATAAATCTATATCACTTTTTGCCTCGTCTAAGGAAAAATGATGAAGAAATGGTTGGGTAATTAAGAATAATTTCATTTTGTAAATATTTAATCCACATTTGTGTATTGTTTAGAGGTTCTACATTGAATTTTGTTGCCATGACTGACACAGTTGAAGGGTCTCATCTTGAATCATTTCTAATGTCTGTATGTGGATAGTAGATGTGTCAATTTGTAGGCCTAAATGCCTAAGTCTGGGTTTTAAAAGTGGTCTATGTATAGCTGTCTGTTTATTATAAATTCTCCTCCCCAACTTTGACATGATAAAGATATTACGATACATGTCAATTCCCTGGTGTCGTATTGATGTGGTGTATTCTCAGGAGTTTTTCGTCTCTTGTCGGCCGAATTCCAAAGATTGTGGTGGTAGGGCAATGGGAGCAAATGAGCAATTGAAGATACTAAAGAATTCACAGCTGCAAATCCACACTTGTGCAATAATGAACCCAAAATTTCAAAACTCTTTTTTCAAAGTGGTTGAATACATATCCTTCCAGTTGCATTAAAGACAGAAGATTACGATTTGAAATTCTAAAACTAAATACACACCACGACAAGGAAGACATTTTTCATCAATATAAATGTAATACAAACAGGGGAAATGACTTATAAAAATGTAAAATCTTGTAATAGCATACACAGGCACACTGCTACAGTTTGAACTACCCCTTTTCCCAAAATACGACCTAACACAGAAACTGATCCCCCAAACAGAACTTCTTATTAGTAATGTTATTAACACATAATTGTATTTTACACTTATGAAATTTTGAATCTAATTGTAATACTTTTATCTTCAATTTTTTCTGATAGTGACAATAATTAAATAAGCTTAGTTTAAAACTTGGTAATACTCATTTAATGGTGACATCAACAAATATTTCCAGGCCCTTTGCCACTCTAATAAAATATTATTGAATATTCTATTTGAAAAAATTACAAGCAATCTTTGAAATACTTTTCACACTGATTTATTTAACCTTTAATGTCAAATTCTGAGTTCAATTCATACCATACATTTTACAATCTCTTTAAGTTCTTTCAGAAAATAAATACATTTCAGTAAAGATAGGCCTATATTTTTTCTTATATATCCTTCAGTTTCTTCACAGAATATACATGGTAATGTGTATGTAATACTTTATACATTTCTATAATCTGAGAATTTTAAAACCAAATAAATAACATTTTTAACAAAATTCTGTACAGAGGGGTTGCTCTAATCCATGTAAATGCATATTCATTGAGTACACATTACCTGTGCAAATCACTTCCTCAGCAAACATTGCTGCCACAATGCTTGAAAGTCCTGTTCCAGATCCAAGCTCCAAGACAGTTTGATCTTTAATCAATGATAAGCCATTATGTAACATAAAATCTGCCAATACCAAGGCACCACGCCACACTTGAAGACCAACAAATTGTAGAGTGGTAGAGTGGCTTTGTTCTAAAACAGAGTAAAAACAACAAATGAAACTGATAATTAACAAACTAAATAAACAGCTGTCTTCCAAATGTGTGTAGATTTCATTTGCAATTTAAATATTTCAATAAGCAACGGTACATTGCATACATATATTACCATTAACTCATGGTTTGTTTTCAACCAGAATATCGCACCTGAAGATGCGGTCCTATCTGATCAAGAAATATCACATGAGAAGAATAAATTTTCTGTACATTAAGAAACTGTAAAGCATTGTGCATTGATGGCCTGTAATTTTATTAGGAAACCCTATCCCAGTCAATAACTAATGTACACAAACATATTGAAGAATATTTTCCAAAATATTTCAATAAATTTTATGGAAGCAGATGAATGATTATTATAGTTATTTCAAGTGTGTGATTCTGTGATTGCAAACATAATTTTATTTCATAAAGTGCACATTCTGAATGGATTGGAAGCTGCATGAATTTCCAATTCAAACTAGGTATTAGGGGCTAACAATGCTGTGAATGAATCCCACAAAACTAAAGAAAACCTTTAAAAGATGAAGAAAAAAACAAAAATTCAAAACAGATTAAATATGAAACCAAGGGTGGATCTTCATTTTTTAATATTTAATTATAGTTACCTATTGCAATTACAGCATCTTGGGCTGGCATATTTCTCCTTCGCACAAGAAGATCACCATCTTCATCCACCCGAAGACCATTTAAATTACCGGTAATCCAAGACAAAAATGGTGGGACTTTGAAAACAAAATTTGTGATAATATCTGCACAAAAAGTTTATGTTATGTTTTGAACGAACAAATTAAATGTGTATATAAGTACCCATATTCATAATTTCTACAAATTATGTTCATAATTTTCCCAATAAAAATACTTTTGTGCATCAATCCCTTTACAAGTAACTTACTTTTTGGAGAAACATGTGGCTTTGCAGATGTATCAACATCACTCTTTTCATGTATCTCTGATGTTACCTGGTATTCTTCAGAAGACATCTGAAACATTTACATTCTTCTGCACTCATCATGAGAATGAGTTTCAAGAGCAATATAAAACTGATAAAAGAATACTACATGCATACAATATTGTTTAAAAGCAGGGTAAATTCATATCCCAGAGCATTACAACAGAACAATAACTGTATCTCAAAATAATTATAATAACAATTAAAATTAAAAGCATTTAACATTCAAAATTAGAACATCATTTATTCTTAAATAACATAGGTTCCATGAAGAATCATTTATTTTTCCATAATGGACAGGCTAATTGCAGCAATAAAGTCACATATTTCAGTGCTTGCCACATAGGCTGTCACTTCTAACAAAAATTAGTTATGCACACCAAGGCACAGAAATCAAGTTAGAATTCACTAAATTGTACGAAATATTGTGATATAACACAAATGATACAAAGAAAAATAAATATTTGAGTTTTTGTTGACAACCACTTCACGTGGTCATATTTACAAAACAATGAAGATGACACATTTAATTATTTTAGGCTGGATCTGAGAACAATTCAATTTTTAAATAAATATATTTTATACAAATACCTAATATTCACTTTTATTGAAAATCCAACACTAAGCTTTTAGGAAACTTTCTAAAAACACCAAAATTTTTTCCATTTTCAAAACAGCAAAATCAATTTATGAAAGACTTATTTAAACTCTTTAATGCAGAATTGTTCTTGAAACATTATAATTTTTACTTCTAATCTGATGACTGGACGATCTTCCAATACAAATCTGAAGATCCATGGAATAGACCCATATACGCTTTTTTATGAGTTCATCATATTCAAAGTAATATTAATTCCTCCTTCCAATATTTATTTCCAAAAGCTTGAAACTGCCCTTTCAATGTATTTGGAATACATCTGCGATTGCTATTTTATTTCGCAACGTGTCTATTCGATCTTAATTTCAGTAACAAACAAATAATAATAATTAATTCATTTAATACACACAAATTTCAGTCAAAATATACAAAACACATAACTGAAATCAGAAAGTTACTTCAAACAAGCAATCTGAATTTTAAGTTTTGACAAATCAAACATGTACCAACATTTGTTTTAAGTTCAAACAAGTTACAGAAAGGAAAGTTGAGGAAAGGTAAGCATACAACCAATAAAATCCAATACATGTAACACTAGAAATATATTTTATTCATGTGATTGATAAGAACAATACACACAGCAGGGAGCAATATAATTAATATCACCATTCAAGGGAGATTTTTTTTAAAATAAATTTTATTATTGGTGCTGCTTTCCTAACAAATTTCCAACATTCAAATAAAAATACGGTTTGACATTTGGTTAAAATAAAATATCAATCTCAAGCATATTATTATCTGTGAACTACATTTGTGAAGCGCAAAAAAAGGAAAAAAGTATATTTTTAGAGTGGCTCAAACTGGCTTTAGTTCACATGATGTCAAGGTTATGAAGATTTAAAAAAGAGATACTTTCAAAACATCACAAATAAAATTACCAACCTTTCATCTATTAAATGTTTTATAATGCATACAACGGTTTTAAAAACATAATGGAATACGCTTTCACAGACCTACACCACTATTCGAAATAAAATGGAAACAACGCAAGGAAGTATTATTTGGTATTATTTGCCTCCGCTTGATGTTACGCACGATAACACGGTAACATCGTGGTGTGCAGTGTGGTTCGTTATGGTTATGCTGGTTGTGACCAATAGTGACCAGGAGGACTATATGCTCTCCCTTTCAATGAATTTGGATTACATCTATGATTGCTATTTGATTTCACAAATGGCAATTCATTAGTATTATCCGCGCACGTTTTCTTGAACCCTGATTTCACTAGATGCGATGGGATTGGTTATTTAAACGACAGGATGATTATATTACAGGATGATTATAAACCTGTAGTTCATTTTCATTTGCAAAAAAGCTTTCTATTACACGGCAGCGAACATTTCTGATAATTAGATTTTGTCAACAAAGTTTATCCCTAACATTTATTCTAAATTCAACTAATGTTAGTAATGAAGTGGGGGAAGGTATGCCAGGGTTCAAGAAAACGTGCGCGTTTAATACAATGACTATAGACTAGTACCATGGAGTTTAACACCGTTTTTTATTCATGGCTATGCTACAATTTATTCAAAGCTGCCTCTGGCAGGTTATCAGCTGTTACGGAGCTATCCAATCGAGACCTTCGACGCCACTGCGGGTGGCATCCTACTCCAACCTTCCGATTGGGTGACACCAAAACAACTGATTAAATCAGAGACAGCTATGACGAAATCGGAGTAAATGGAGCGCTCTTGTTTGTGACCACGACCAGAGAGCACTATGCACGGTCACAACGCAGCGCTGCTAAGATAATCATCGACTCATACTCTTGTTTAAAAAAACTCGATAGATACGAGACAAAAAACCAAACTTTTTCTAAACGTTTTGCAAATTCAAAATATACAAAGAGTAAATTGTATGAGATTCATGACCGGAACCACTTCAGACAAACCCAGCTTACTCCGTTCCGAAACTCGCTCTATGAACGAAGAATAGAATTAATTTATCACGTGATCACATATGTGCGGGAGGTTGTGAATTCAGAAGAATAGCAGGCAGTTTACAGTTCTACAACTTATGATTAGATGAGTAGAAAGAACGGAATTACATCTCCGACTTAATGGAAAATAACTTCGGTAATAACTATTACGGCTTATCAATGAAATATTAAATATAGTTCCTAACTCATAATGAAATTACTGTATTATTTTGCAGGTTTGCTGATGTTTTAATCATGTCATCAAATAGCATAACACATTTTATCTCAACAGCAAAAGATCTAAGTGACCTTCTTTACATAGAAAAATTCTTTGAAAAGCATTCATTGACCCCGCTTTCTCTTGAGAATTGCATTGTAAATGATCTTGAAAGGCTGTTCGATTCTGTTCTTAACACACCAATTCCTGTAAGTTAGTAAATGATAATTTTGCAAATGAATCGGTATTGAAAAAATTAATCTTGAATTTAATCTTCAGCAATCATAACTTTCCTCAACATGAACTTTCCTGGTATAATCTTATTTTATTTAATGGGAGTTAATCAATGTTTCATATTTTATGGATTTTCAGAACAATGATCACATGAAAGGTCTTTTAGGCATAATAAAATGTTTGCGGCAGATTTCACTATGCAAGGTAACTTTGTGACCAATCATTAACTTACCATTTAGTTAATTGTCATCCATAGTGACTATTGTTGCCAAATGTTTTCAGGATGATGAGCAGTGGCTAACATTACATGAACGTGTTTCCACTCTCATAAACAAATGTACCAGATACATAATGACACATTTAGATGTGAATAACACACTATTTAGTGAAATCCTTCAGCTGATATTACAAATTATCATTGTGAGTATAATTATTAAAGTAACAAGAAAAATATTTATTTTGTCAGTGAAAATTATTTTTAACTCTCTATAACAAGTTAATTAGCTCTTTCAACACATTATTTTAGAGAAATTTAATTAACAACTTTAAATGAAATTATTTATCAGCACATTGTGAAATCCTCTGTATTTATTTGTACGAGTGTTTCTAAGGAGGTTCCCCAAGACATTAACTTACAGTAATAATTTAATTTGATTAAAATAACTTGATAAATTACATAATTAATAGAACATGTAAGTTTTTACAATAAACAGTAAAATAATTTACATTATTTTAAACATCACAGAAGAAAATTAACTAATTAAAAAAACAATTAATTACATTCATAATTATGATAAAAATGAGATTATGATAGAATGTCAAATATATTAACTTATAATGATATATAAAATGAATAATTTTATTATATTACAATAGTAATTTAATAAACTTACAATAATTTTAATACATTAGATGTTAATTATAACTGTAAGTGCTTACAATAACGTAAGATATAATTATATTATTCACTACATTATTAATAGTACAATGCTTTATTGAAATTAATAAAGTGAACAGTGAATAGTCACTCTTGCAGCAGTAGATGTTAATTACTATTGAATCAATCCATTATCTTTTAAGGACACACACAAATTAGGTGTTGTTTAAGCAATGTTTTAAAGTATCAGTTGATTTTATGATAATTGGGAGATTATTAACAAGCTGTGCAGCAACGCAGAATGGACCTTTGTTAGTTGACTTGCTAATGTAATATATGTCTCTATGTCCTCAAGTATGATAGTTATTTTTCTCTTTATTACTTACTAAATATTGATTCTGAATATTTCAAAGTAATAGTTATACTTTGTACGAGTAGAGTACTACTATGATCAGTAGGTCTAACTTATATTTGATAAAGAAATCTTCACAAGACTGTCTTAGATTCAGTTTGAAATGTGCTTTTGAGTTATTTCTTTCGTAGGGCCATTAATATATCCATATGATTTGATTGCCTAGTATAATGCAGATGTATCTTTGTATTGCATTTTCAATACTTCTATTTTCATTTAGGAGTTCTTTTTATATAAATATAATTCTTGGATATATATGCAGACATCATAATGAAAGAATTTGAAATGATTTGAAGAGGGTGTGCACAATTTAAGTCTTAACCTTCGCTGTTGTCGTAACAATTCTCTTTAGAATTTAATCTCATGATCCCCGACATCTCATTCAACACATGTTGCTCTGTTTTGTACAATGAGTGAAATTCATGTTTGATTGTGTGAGATTTGAAGTGCAGTATTCAAGGTATTTAATGCATTAAAAAAATTAGTGTAACTCCAAAAGCATATACTTTCTAGTATTATTGGAAATGGTTTTGTAATATGTTATTGTAATTTCTGTCATAATAAAACTCAGTTGTAACTTGAAAAAGTGAAATTTCAAACAAAGCACTCATGATGCATACCGGCGTTTATTTTGATAGAGAGGATTTCTAACTTTTTTGAAGAAAAAAAAAAAAGTCTATCTGCGTCATACAATCATCACGACCGACAACAATGGGATGAATTTGAAGAACTGTAAACCACTCTGTTGCCATTTTCCGAAATGATAACTTGACAATCGAAGTCATGGTCGCAAGAGATATTTGTAGCAACAAAGCCCGCTAAAAGTTTCGTATTTGCTGCCAACTCGCCTTTAAAAACTATTTTATCTTTTATTTCGAAAGAGTTAAAATAACATGAAACAAATGAACGAATAGAAAAAACTAACTTTGGGCATATTATAATAAGTTTACGATTAATATTATAATACACTAGCTGGTATCCGGCACGTTGCTGACATAGAAGAAATATGCGGTTTTCATTTCGTGTACCTAATTTGCATTTAATGCAAAAAAATTGTGATGCGGTTATGACTTACGAAAGTAATAATGAATTACACAAATGTCTTTATTATATTTAATTCCTCTATTCTTGTGTAATTTTGTGACAATTTTCGGTTGTAGCGCAAACATGCTACAACCGGAGCGAGCCGTCACTGATTGAGAATTTAATTTAAATGAAGCGTCATCTTGTGCTGCAGAGCCATCTAGGGAAGTTACTATAATTGCACTATGCCCATGGTGGAAAAACATGGGTGAGTTCCGCCGGCGCACTGAATTTTGCTCGTTCTTTGCAACACCAGTTAGCGTCACGGACCACGTGAACACAGCACGGGCATTTTGTTTTTAAAAAACACTAGCGCTGGCGCAATTGCATTGATTGCGAGAAGTGTTGAGAAAAAAATGTTGAAAAAAAAGTGTACAAAGTGCAGTTTTCAACGATATCCAACAAAATAACACGATGAAGGTGTTAAGATGAAAATTATTTAAAAAAATCAGAAACCTGTTTCAGTCTTTGTAAGAGGTGATCATTTTGGTATCTACTACAATATGTACAAAATTTCCGCTAATATTGACCGAAACTGGTGTTTGTGCTCATTGACTGAAGTCGAATACGATTCACCTGAGCCCCCCCACATACGCCTATTATCTTCCACAAGTGCTAGAATAAGTTTAACAAAGTTTTATCGCAATCGGATGAACGGTACGGCAACGCATTAAGCATGACCAAACAAACAAACATTTGTTTTTACAAATTAGATTAATTATCATTTGTTTTTTTTACATAAATGTCTCGAATTTATCTGCATGCCAATCAGAAACCAATGTGTCACCGCTTCAAACGAAACGTGATGAAGTGGAATTTACCATTTCGAGTTTTTTCCAATTTTTGAAAATATGGAGTGCGCCGAAAGTGGGACCTATGCCACATTTTTTACCGTTCTATGCTACGTACCACTATGGTTTCTGGGACCAGATTCTGTGGCCAAAATTCAAATTTTAAATTTTCATAAATGAACTCTCCGCGCACCATAATGTGAAGTAAATACTTCAAAGTTAATTGTTTTGCCCTCACTTTGTTGATTGTTGGCTCCCCTGACGTGAGACACGCTGGAATCGATACTTTCTCTTTCGCTCTCCGCGCCGGAGTGCCAACCATGTTGTTTATACTTTTTTTTTTTTAAACCGATCATTTTCTTTCCTCATAAAATGTTTTTGCTCAGAAATAAGTTTTAACGCGCAACTCAATTCAGAGTTCCTAAAAATAGCTATATTTTCCATTACTGTGAATTTTAATTCTATTACCGACACCCCCAAAATTGAATTGACTTTTTTTAAAAGTTGTCGGTGTTCGATGGGCTTGCACCGCGGCCTTTTGTGTTTGTAGGTTATTGTAAATTTTATTTCAATTAGTATCAGCTGCAATAATGTGCAACTCTTGACATAATTATTGTTTTTTTCTTTAGATATGCACCGCATCGAAAATGAATGTCTATTCTTGCGTACAGTTCGTGATGGTCATCTCACTACACTACTCACTACACTCCAACAAAATCACACTACAAGGTTGTAATTCATGAGGTTAGCAATAAAGTGAAATCATTGTATGATGAGAAAATGAGGTTCAAAATTTGCCATTATTTGAAAATTTTAAAGGAAGATGGTGTAAAGATAATCGTTGGCTGGAATATTTCATTGAAAAAAAAATGTCTTGGGTCAAGGCTGACTTCATTATCAAAATAGAAGTAATGCCTACATTTACGTCTGGTCAACACCGTCTTTCGTTTTCCGAAATATTAATTTGGACAAAAAGGGAAGGAAACTTCGCAGAGGTCAATTCAAATGCAGCACGACTCTGCTTTAATTCTGCAAGCGGCTAGTATTCCTGACTGGAACCGAGAAAACAGTTTTAAAAGAATAGGGACTATAAACCAGGGAGCTTTTGTAATGGTTTGGAGGAATTTATTTTGGAAAGTCTGATTTTTTTAATATTTGATTTGCTGGCTGAGGCCCAGATAGGAGAAGCGTAGGATAAGATTGGACGAATCATTGACTGTTATAGATGAGAAGCAACATGAAGTCGCAAGGGTGAATACTTTTTGAGTATGGGATGTACAATGAAGAAATTCGGTTTGTGAAAACTTACGCACAATGTATATGGATCTTGATTACAATCTTCCTCTTCTTACGAAGTAAGGCGAGGAAGAAGAAAGGTGTATGATATGAGGAGAAATATAATATGCGCACGTTTTCTTTCGCTCCACAAACTAGACATTTTCGTTCCCGAGTTATATTTTACCTGCGTCTGTAAACAAACTACGGATTTTATTACAGTATTGTTAACAAAATAGCAATTCACGTCTCCGGCTCTTCTTGTACCTCAAGTTGCTAAAGGAGAGCGCTTCAAAATATGTGCATAGTGAAGCAGCATTTATGTTCAGAAGCCAAGCAAATGACCATTTTAGCATGTGCTCAATGGATCAAGGGAAACTGTATGAAAAACTTTAAGATGAGGACAGTGACGGAGAAGCTGAAGGACAATGGTACTTGTTAGGCCTTTGGAAAAAAATCTCTGCTGTAATCATGAAGGTGGTCTGTTACGTTTTCTTAACAACATTCTCTTAACCATCGTTTGTCGTTGCCGGCGATTGCTTACTACTTTTTCGCCCGGGGACTCGGCGCGCATGGGTTCCCAGACGGTCACCCATCCAGGAAACAGCGGTGTCTCGGGTTACTTAATTTCCGTGACTTAACGGAGTGTAAGGGAGTTCAGTAACGGAGTTAAATCGGCTACCTATGTCGACCTATTTGTTTCTATATGACATTAAGTAGATTCTCAGCTGGAGAATCACAAATTTCAGTTGTGATTAGTTAAATTATTGAAATGCGGCTAATGCATTAAATTTAGAATAAGTTGATGAATTAAAAAAAAAAAATGCATACCTCTAATAATGTAATTTACTAAGTATCCGAATGCAGTCCAGTTTATACCATCAATAGGGAATAACTATCTTGGAAAAATAATTCTTGAATCTTTGATGCTCTGAATTTTAAGATTCACTCAATGATTTTTTATAGAATTGTTTTGAAACCTAATTCCAAACTTCATTTGATTAAAGTAATCCTTGACTCACAAAAGGAAAAATATATAGGAATAGATGTAATTTACAAATTATTTGATTGCCTACCGTTTTCCTTTTAAGTATGTTTGTTTACACTATTTAGAAATTAAATTTTTATGAAAACACTCTATCTATGTCAGTAACATGAATGTATCAAATGAATTTAATTGACAAATAAATTTATGTTTAAAATTGTTAAGTGATAAAATAAATTTCATTATCAGGATTCATCAAGACACCATATTTGTATAAAAAATAAGATGCTCCAATGTTTGTCTCCATTGATTTTTGATATTATTATCAATAAGAAACCATCTCTGGTACTGGAGAAGCTGTGTATTCAATCATTAACTTTGTTGGTCACAAGAACTGATCAAGAGAAACGTAAAGAAGTGATGGAATTGGTGTATCCAAAATTGTGAGTAATGGTTATCTGGCACTCTTTCATTTCTTGTGAAAAATTTCTCAAAATTTGATATACTAAATCTTGCAAGTGTCTGAAAAGTGATTATTGTTACTTTTAACATTTATATCAGTCCTACACAAGCTCACTTTATTATTATCTGAAATGTATTAGTGATTTTTAAAATGTAAGGTAATCACAGTTTTTTGCAATGAAAATGGGCCAAATCTTAAAATCATTGCGCAAAACAAATCCACTTGCAAAGATTATGTTTAGTTAAACATTATAATCCGTAACATTCAGTTCCCATGAGTACTGTATAATGTAACAAGCTAATAAATTTGTAGATTGTCTTTGTTTTAATATTAAAATTACCATTTTTAATGCTGGTGAGAAATAATAACAGCAATAATTTCGAAAAAATTATTTACCCTTTTTTCTATTAGTGAATGTTTTGAGGATGAAATATATTGAACAATTTCAGCAAAATGATAATTATGAAATTTTAGCTCACATCATATATTAATAATGTTCTCAGGACGCTAATAAAAGGTAACTTACAAAATTAAACATGTAGGGGAAACTCTTTACCAGGGAAACTCTTGAAGCAGAGAAAAAAATCTGTTTTGAGTGTGAGGTGATGGTAACACTGCCTTTTTCATTTGTAAATGGTTTATGCGCATCTGCAATCCTTCTGAAAGAAGTTATTTTACTGAATTTATTTTGAGATATCAAAAGTAAAATTTCCATTTCTATGTTTGGTTTTTCTACAATAAATTAAGGTAAATTTTAAGTGATCCCTTTAAGCATTATAATCCATTTAGCTTGTTCATTATTTATTTAAGAGAACAAAAATCAATAGCATTGTTTTTAATCAACATATATTTACATTAAGAAGGTAGTAATTGTACCTTTGGTCTCTCTATTCTCTTGTACCTTGGACCACCTAAAAACAAAGAAATATGAATAATAAAAAAGATTGATATTTAAAATTTAGGTTCATTGAAATTCTAGATTTCTAGTTCTTAAATGTGATGGATGTTTGAGCAGTAATGCAACAGATAGACATATTCAAGGAAATGAAAACCCAAGACTCATTACAGGTGATTCAAATTTGGGCTTGTCAGAAACCACTACTAATATCAGCCACGTATCTAATGCTGGCTCTCTTATCATTGTATTTCATAAATCCACTTGTAACTACATTCCGACAATCGGCTATGGTTCATTTCCAAAAGGTGGAAAACGAGAAGGTCAGAAAAGTAGTCAAAAGGCAGGAAAGAGATCAGACACTCTGGAGAAGAACAAAGCTGAAACATAAGTAACAAGAAAAACAAATTTATGCCCAAGGTTAACACTAGAGTGTGAGCAAAACACAAAAATGCATCGGCTAAAGAAGATATAAAAACATGAAAAGGAATTTATTCAAAAATGACTCGATTTTTATTACATAAAACTTGTTTCATAGTAGTTTTACGTATGCTTTCACGCGTTTACCACTCATGAATACCCTCTTTGTTTTCTTAATTCTTTGTTCATAATAAGGAGGGTGGTCCAAGGTACAAATTTCTATTGTACCTTGGGCAACTTTATGTATTTTTTCTTAATGTAAATTTTTAATTGAATTATGAAATGGAAAATTATGCAACAATTATCATAATAAATATAAAAACATATTTGCAGTTTCTGTTTCAGCACAAACAACTTACAACAAAATAGGGAAATATGCAAAAAAAGGTGTTGTAAGGTACAAGGGTCTCCTACATTTCTAACTTGAAATTTCTGTAAAAATATAAATGTTTTATTTAAGTTGAGGACACTGATTATGAATTTAAATAAGGAAAAAACTGACTTCATTTTCCAACTAATTGATTAATTTTTTTCACAACATAAACAAACATTTCATATTTTACTATATTGCCCGATTGCTGTCTACTATTCCAGTCAAAATGGACATTTAATCACCTTCCTATAATTAAATACACATTCACTAAGTACAAATATAAGATTCCATCACATCATTTCTCTGTCTTTGTACAAACATATGATTTAAGGTAAGGATCTTCAGGTATTAATTATCATTTGAAGATTATTTAACCCATCACATTGTTATTAGTTTCATCTACCCTCAGAAATATTTGAAAATGTAACTCACTTTGAAAAACCTGTTATTTTAAAGGTTTTATTGGAAAAAGGTAAATGCTAATACTTAAACTTATGTATTGTACTCATTCATCAGTGTAAATGAAATGGGTATTCACTGAAATTTACAATTTTAGTTTTTGTTGAAGAATGAACTAAAATGTGAATTTATTTGGAGTTATTGTGATAAATCATCTTGTCATAATTGTTAGTGGTGTAAATAATGAATTGCAAATTGTAAATTTCATGGAAGTGCTATTAAATATGATAAACCATTAAACCATACAGATTAGTTAGTTTTTCACGAAAAAAATTAAGGACTTTAAGCACGACATAGAATTCAGCAATTGACAGCAATATGGATCTTCTGTATGCGAGCAGGTGCTTGACATTGCAGTAATGCTAGGCCATGCCTAAATTCCCTTATCATTTTAATTTCATCAAAATTTTCTTTTTTCCAGAGCAAAATTTTTTGATCATCTGTACACCTGTGGAGATTATGACACCCAGCTATGTATAGTAGAAACAATTTTAAGATTTATTGTTCCCGACAAAAATCGCAAAATGTTTTTTGTCAATTTCAAACATAAAAATCCTAATGTAATTAGAAACTTTCTGAATGTCCGGAGTAAAGATTTTGACACTGTAAGTCTAGTAATGCTTTGAAGAAAGTATAAATATTTAAATAAATAAATAAATAAACTGTGCATAAATTTATATAATATTCATATAAAAAAATTATTGTACCTAATACTTGTATTATTTGACTAAAAATTTCCTATGTTTATATGATTTCCAGGATTGTAGAACATTTTTGAATTATATAAACAAGAGTCAAGGACAAAATGCATTAGTCATTTCTGTTCCCTGTTACACTGTTCTGCTTAATGAAACAATCATTGAGAAACCTCCAGTAAGTTATGAGTTTTAGTGATAATAAAAAAAGCACATAGTATGAGAGCATTTCCATTAAAATGATTGTTACTGTTTTATTCCTTCATGATCAAATGATACTGATTTTGTAATGAAAATAATTAAATGAGAAGTGAAAAATTATGGTCACATTTTCCCCAGAACATTGGTGAAGACAAAAACTCAACAATTTTATTTCATGAGAAGTAAAGACATTTTTCTTGCAATTAGAGATTTTGGAGTGTGTTCGTTTCTGTGACCCTTCCTCTTTAGACCTCTCTTTGAATTTATTCATAAAAAGTTGCATCTTGAATTGGGCTCTAATTGGGAATATGCTATTGATGGAAAAAGGGAAGAAGACGAAATAATTTCTGAAGCAATGAGAATGAAATCTTTATATACAGTTTCTATACTGAGTACATAAATCTCAGATTTTACATCTTTTACTTTTTCTTTCAGGAACAGGAGTTATTCTGGGTTGATTTTAACAGAGGAGCTCTATCAGTTTCTATATGGTGTAATAAGAACAGTCTTCTAACTCCAGAAGAAAGTGCAGTACCTGATTTTGTGTCCTCAACTGATTGGCAGTTGCTTACTATTAAATCTGAAGTTGTTACCGAAGTGAAAGTGAAATCAATTAAGTATGTACATTTTTCAATTGAAGTAGTAATTAATGGTACCATAAGAGTAGAATAAGATTTTATTGATGAGTAGGAGTTGAGTCACCAAGGTGAGGATAAGCAGTGGTGGCTGATGGGCAGCGAATTAGGAGGAGCCGAACTATCACATACTACATCTTACCTCTTGAAATTTCTCGAACGAGGAAAATTATATGCAGCTAACAAAACAGTATGAAAAGTTCTTTGCTCTTAATCTGAAACCAGATGAAAGGTTCTTAGCTCTTAATTCGGAATTCTTTACTTAGTTAATAGGCACGAACTCTGTCGGACCATGGTGGAAATATCGCCATGTGCCGATCAAAAACCTAATAGCTGCTAGACAGAGCCCATCCTACTGCCAGTAGCTTCACTCTTCCTCAAGATTCCGTTGCCTCGCATGCACCTGCTACGGCCCATTGCAAAAGCATTTATTTTTCGCTTAAGCGGGCACATATAACTAAACTCTTCCTCAAAACCTGCGCTGGGGGTATGCGCAAATTAAACAAGTCGATATGTTTAATACTTTCTCCAACTTTTCCCGAAGTTGGTTTATCTCAGGGGAGGGGGAGGTACCCCGCCGCCAGATCCTGTCGCTGCCGCCACTAATGCTTAAGTATATGGGGCTAATAATCTCGAGTGAATCGCCTAGTTTTACTTTTGAGTGCTTACATTGTGTTATTTATTGCTACTATAATGTAAACAAAAGCAAGAAATTTTAACTGGAGTTGTAACGAAGAGGGACATTCTAGGCGGTGCGCTGCTAGAAACAGTGGGAGTAGCCATTAAGAACGCTCAGTCCGTCGCTGTGAGGAAAGGGGGAGGGGAGTGGGAGATGGTTATGGGCAGCGGTAGGCAAACCAAGGTGGAAATATTTTCAGGCATGTAATTTCCCCCGCGGAGTAGCCAAGCCCCGGCGGGCGAACGGGCAGGCAGCGGCGGTCGTTCATACTCGCGCCTAAGTTTATCTCGACAACGATCGAACCAGCGGGCAACCGACAATCGGATGCTCTGTCAATTGGCGGCGGTAGCTGCAGACCCACTGGCTGAGAAAATCATTCAACCAGGGGTTTGGACGGATTCTCTGAGGAACTAATTCGAGAGTTTCGATAACTATCGTGACGATCTATGTTTTTACGCCACATATTCGGTTGATCTCGATTTCCAAATTCGAATTATTTGACGTTTCTTTACTTCTGAGGTTACGATATTATGAATGTATGGCACAGCAACATCTACGAGTAATTATGCACGATATTTATCCACATCTCCAATACAAATATCATGTTTGTTTACCGTTGGCGTACGATCAGCGTGTGTATGCTGGTCGTACAATATTTTACACAGAACACGAGACTCTCAGGTTATGATGTTTGAACACACTTTAGAGCACGTTCAATTAAAAATCAATGTAAATACATTTCGTCGTTTGCCAATTTCACATAAATTATTTTTGTGAAAGCTTTATACGCCCATCCTCATTGCCTCTTTTCAACAGTCAAGACTTTTTATTCATAATATTAATAAACAATATTTGATTTCCTTGTAATATTATTAAAGATCAAAACTATTGATAAAAAATACCGTTTGATGAGAAAAAACTCATTAAATAAGACAAAAATTATTTGCTAGGCAGATAATAGTTGTACTGAGCATTGACATGAAGGGTTCTGATTAACCTAGGTGTCCGAGCTAATTGTAAGTTGCACAAAGAATTGTCAAAATCCAAAAATCAAATTATTATTACTTTAAACGGTGCGCGTAACGAAAAATGTAAGGAATTAAATTGTAGAATCTTTTATGTAGAATATTTTGGCAAGGAGTAACGTTTGGCCTAAATTCGATAGTTTTTTAGATATAGGAAAAAAGCAGACAAAAATATTATTGAATTAAAATTGAAGACAATAAAAATATTTGGAGCCATTTTTGATGAAAAAATAATTGAAAATATTAAAATTTCATGTAAAGTACCCCCAAAAATCAAAATATCGTTTCAATCTCGCAGGACCTTGAGTTCCCTTAAATCGATTGGGGATTATTAATTTTTGAGAAAATTGTTTGACGGCTGAGGCGGTACCCTTGACCACTGACAAGACGGATATGTTTTGCCGCCGTCGGTCGATTTTTCAGTAAGAAGAAACCACAAAACGAGGATTCTAACTACACAATTTTCTACATGCTACATTAAATAGCATACACTTCCCACTTAAAGTCGTGGAACTGAGTAATTCCTAGGCATTTTAGGATCCAAGGGTTCCCTAGACTTCCCCACAGGACATTGAAGTTTCTTTCCTCCGTTTAGTACCAGCAATGCTAAATTGCTCCATCGTAATTTACAAATTGTCTGTAAAATTTAATAGAGCTTCTGAGAACAATTAACGAGATAGTCAGTAGATCGCTTCGAGACGTTATCACCAGAGTCTTGAGGGCACTGACTGTGAATCTTAGCATAGCGCCAGAGGTTCCAATACCACTGGCAGGATTCTGGCGTTGGATACACCATGAAGTTGGGCTGCCAGGGGGATGACTGGTTGGTATTTTACCACCTTTTCCTCCCCTACTTTCAAAAGGCTAGACCCATTCTCGTGTCGGACCCATCGACCACGTGGACCCCTTCCCGGCTTTTTATTACAGGTCAGGTGTGCGTCTAACCTTCGACAACGGAGAAAGTGGCTTCCGTGGACACTACGGTGTCCGATTTCCGAAGTATATTCTCTTCTACGAAGTTTTTGATCTCGTCATGAAGCTTTATTCTTGCTGGCTTCGTAAAAATGCACTGACCAAGGATGTTGTTAATGGTTTCTACTGCTGTATTGCACTTCCTGCAGTGTATATCCTCTCTGGGTCTTCCTCTTCTGAGAGTAGTTTTATTGGCAGCGGTATTTGATGTCAATTGGAGTGCAGTGACAAAAAGACCAGGTTTCAGAAGATGATAATCCTTAAAAAAGGCATTTCCAATCGGATCGTTTATATGCGCCCTAACCGCTCTCCCTTGGGATCCCAGCTTCTCCCAGGCGACTACGTCATCGGCGCATTTCTTATTACAAGCCGTTGAATCTTGTTCAGAGTAGGGCCAGTTGAGTCTATGCGATTTTGCGGTCTTAAGTGTCCGTTGGTTAAAAACTCGCACAGGAACTCAACCATCTGCAAATAGAATCTGCAGATTTTTCTAATCGCAATCCTAGGTGCAGCGCAACTGTAGGAACGTGTTGGACTCTCTCATTTGACTGTTCGCTTCCCTGAGCATCGACATTGATGGCATGGATAGGACCAATCGGTGAAGGTAATGTGGCACTATGTAGGTTTGAAGTAATGCCAACATCTGAGTGGGTTTTAATTGCGCCTTTTGAAGCTTCGACACCGTTTCCATTAAATTCGATGTGGATGCTTTAGATGGGAAGCCGTTTCAGATAGAATAGTTCACTCCCAGGTATGTAAGAGTATGATCATTGCTGACAAGGGGAATTCTCTCCCCCAACCTTTCCAGACTTTACAGACAGAGAGTAAGAGGGGTCCTCAATGAACCAGAATGGTTCAAAAGTTGTAATGTGAAATGATGAGCATTTCGCGACGGACAATGTCATTCCGAGATCGCCAAGATATTCCACCAATTCTTGAGCTCCCGGGGCATCTTTTGCTAACAGCACCAGGTGACGTAGAACAGCAAAAACGAGTAGTACTTTCTCGTACTAGTTGTTTTTCTCATCACTAATCTGGGCTAGATTTTCGGGTTGGCCTCACCCTCTTCCTAGCTGCCAATTATAGCCACCTAAGGATATTTTTTCACACTTTCTCAATTTTTCGGCTCACTAATAATAGAACAGAAATATAATTTCAATCGTATTATAAAAAAGTAAAACGTGTGTGCTATATGCACTTTTTCATTTAAAAATTTTGAGCAGTTCTGTGAAAACGTTTTTTGAGTGTTTTCGAGTAACTTCACGAGAAGTTTGAAGCAATTGTACTCTCAAATGCAGTAATGAGTAAATAATGCTTGCAATGAATATATTAACAACGTGGGGTATATTTAAAAGCATTACATTGGTTTAATTTTTCAAGAACAAAAAAGTACATAAAATTATATTAATATATTGTTTTCAGTGCATTTAACACTACCTGTAAAAATTCTGAAAAAAATGAGTCAACGAGAAATATGCATTTAAACGTTTCTGAAAATGTGGAATTTTGAGCTCATTTTCACAAAAAGTTTTAAGTTTTTGAGAATCTTTATGATATGATGGATGTCATAATTGAAAAGTATACGAAAAATGTAAGTGATATACTGACGGTATTGCAAGAAAATGGGTTAAAAGTAAATATTGAGAACTGTGAATTATTTAAACAAGATGTATTTTGGGAGAATTTGCTAGATAAGGCAGTGATCGCGCCGACATAACAGCACGTAGAGGTCATTGTGTATTTGCCAGTTCCCACTAATATTAAACAGTTTCAAGCCTTTCAAGGGAAAATAAACTAATATAGTAAATTTTAAAGGAGTTTTCACCAATTGCAGCTCCTTTAAATGCCTTAAAGAAGAAAGGAGCAAAGTTTATTTGCCCGAATGAATTTCATCCAACACTTATGAATTATAGAAGTAATTAGCAGTCGCAACAAAACTAAATTATTTTGCCCGTCGAGGTGGATCGGTCCACGTCCTGACAGAGCGAAGCAGAGAATGCTATCAAGTATTCTTTTCTCCATCTTCCATCCTCTTGATATTCATTGTATGTCACCTACATTCTTTTATCACCCCTTTTTCTTCCTCACTGGCGTATGCTGAACGCCCACCCATGTGTTGCCGTGCTTGGCGGTGCGTGTCGAAGGAAATGGGTAATCAGGGAGTTGAGGGGTCTGTACATGCTTTCTCGGCCGCCACCTAGACGCCGGGTGTTTGCCGATATATACCTGATCTAGCCACGTTCACTACGAACACTGGTGAGCCCTTGTGACTGAGGGGAGGTCTCGGCACCTTGCAGGCCCAACACACTTTCTTTGGCTTCGGACTCTTCTAGACAGGCAGTCGGGAGATAAACTCACTCCCGATCAATGGGTTCGGACCAGGTCTGTGGCTGAACTCCAGGATGAGTGGGGGTGTCATGATGGCTCCTGCGATTGTGCGTCGGGGAATAAACCATGTCCCTCCTTGTTATATCCCTAGCACTCCAGCGAAGTGTCCCCTTGTAGGGTTCCATTTGGATGTGGACCACGGAGATGAATTATAAACCCTTCTCATGGATTAAAAAACTACCCCCACCCTCTTCCTAAAGGAAGAGGAAATAAGTGAAAGAAATTAATAGAAAGCTTCTTCTGCAAAGAAAGTGACAAGCCATCCAAACCCAGCTTTCTTGTAATGACGTGCAGCGAAGATGAAAAATGTGTTCACACGTGTATGAAGAGCATCAGACGATCTAATTGACAGAGTTTTGAAAATAAAGGAAATAGCCGGCCTCCAGGTTCAAGTGTCAACCCACCCTACATTAAGAGTGTAGTACATCTGTGTAAGGGTGTAGTAAGATATGACGATTTCGCTACCGAAACCGAAGATCTAAAATCCTTGCTTTCTGAGGGAGTTACTGACGTGCGCAGGATTCAGCGGAAGGTGCATGGCGAACTCACCCCCCTCTCAATGCTGATCCTCACATTTGACCGACCCTCTCTCCTGAAAAAGATCTCGTGTAGTTTCTATAATCTGCGTGTGTGGCAGTATGGGCCAAGCCCACTGGTCTGCTTTTGGCAAACGTTCGACCATTATACCCAACAACGCTGCATGGGCAACGCTGTCTTTGTAAATTGCGTAAAAAAATCACAACTCTGAATGCGAATCTGGTCCCAAATGTGTAAACTGCACAAGAGACCGTCCTTCAAATTCAAAGAAGTGCCTCATATTTGAAAAAGAAAGATATACAAAAGATCAGAGTATCTGAGAAAGTGTTCTCTGAAGCGCGTCGGCGATTCCTTACAATAAATTCGGCGACCCTCTTTAGGAGTTTTTCCAGCACTTTGAGGATGTCAAATCCTCCTCGAATTGCCAAACGAGTGCGGAGATCTGCCTTATATTGAAAAAACGGCGAGGGGGTCGCTTTCTGACGCCTTCACTTGAGTTTTAGGGTTTTGGCCGAGGCCGCCTGTTGCCGCGACTGCGCTTCTTCTAGTTGCTGAATCCGCTGTTGTACAGTAGTGATAAAAAACCGCATCACCTAAAGAAAACGGGAATTCTGTATTTTCGTAATCCAATCTGCTCTCAAAAATTTTAAACAAATATTAGTAGAAATTGGCAATCATATATTTTATGTGAATTATATGATGTTTCTAATTCCATTACCTTCATAACTCGTTCAATTTATGCAAATCAACTGATGTATTTTTAGGATTATATTGTAGATTACAATTGTGAGAAAGGTGATGCGGTTTTGTGAGCACTACTTTAAGAGCATTATCATTTGCGCCAACTGCGTCATTGTTGTGGGCTCGTCGCCAATTTGTTGTGATAAAATTAGAAGTCACTAACTGTAAGAACAGTTTTGTTTGTATCAGCCACAATGCAGAACCGTACCAACCAATTTTCTGCGAATACGGGGTTTCACCAAAAATTAGCCTAGTTACCGTAAACCCAGTAGATGCTCCATACGCAGCGCAATAACTTACTCCTCTAGAGAATCACCGGCGCACATTTCGTCAACATTATACAGGTATTTCAACTTTTCACTCACAGCTCAACACTATCACTCTTCCCAGAACACACTTTCTTTCTCGGCTGCGACGTCTCTCCTTCCGACCCCGCTGGGCGGCGCAAAGGAGATGCCTATGTCTTAGACGCAATTGACAGAAAAAATAACCTTCATGAAACGAAGCCAGAAGAGGCAAGGGTCGGGCCATAGATTAAATATTCATCCATGGCCCGGCTGTCTAAAAAAGCTTTATGCAGAATTTGTTCAGCCGTGACGACCGTCACAGGCCGCCTCTAGCACGCTATCTCTGCCACCTGCGGAAGAACATTCCTGTCCCGCACTGCGCCACGGCTTCCTAGCGGCGAGCAGTTTAAATGGTCGCATGTGACCAGGCAGTATGCTGTGTTTCAAGTAGTATGATGAGACTTTCGCAAGTTATGAAATATTAGTATTGTAATGTTCAATTGTGAAACATAAGCAATAAACTATATGGTAAACTTATGGTTGTTGTTGCTGTGTCGTTGTTGTGTCGTTTTTTGTTGTTGTTGCTGTGTCGTTGTTGTGTGTTGTTGTTGACCTTGTCGTCTGTTTGTTGTGTTGTTGCCGTTGTCGTTGTTGTGTGGTTGTTTGCTGTGTCCGTTGTTTGTGTGTGCTTGTCTTGTTTGTTTGCGTGTGTGTTTTGTTTTTGTAGTATGTTGTCAGTTGTTTGGTTGTAGTTGTTTCGTTGTTTGTTGTAGTTGTTGTCGTTGTTTTGTCGTTGTTTGTCGTTGTCGTTGTCGTTATTGTTGTGTCGTTATTATTATTATATATTATTATTATTATTGTTGCTTGATTGTTGTTGTTGTTGTTGTTGACAATGTGAAGCTGGTAATTTGACTCATTAAACACTGAGTAAAAACACGTTGGCAGTCTTATAAACATGCTTAAAAAGTAATAAAGCTTTTTGAATGATAGAGAAAGTTGCTGGGAAACAGTAGTAGACCTTTGGATTTAAAAATTTACTCTTATCAATGGTGATATTTTGACCTTAAATGATTTTTTAACTGAATATGGAATTTGTAAGAATCTTCAATTAGGAGTGTGATTGTAATCTTCATTAAACACAAGGGGATGCAATGGACAAATCATTGAAGATTGTCTCAAAGCTATTGATAACAATGAATTTATAAAAAAAACAACTAAAGTTTACTCTCAAGCTTATAAAAGTTTTAGGTTGCAATAACATTGACAATTTTCTCTCATCATTAGTTCTAGTTTTTTATAATTTGTTTTCTTTCTTTTCATTTTTCAGACCTTTGGATGAAGTACAAAGAAATTTCATAGAAATACAATTTATTATTAATAGCCCATTGGAAATAAGGCCATTAGAGGAAATAATGTGCACACAATCCAAATTTGTTCGTATATTATTCCCAAGATCAATAGAAACCGAAGCCTTAGAGCAAAAAGTATTGCCTACTATATTTAAAATGAGAAAACTGGTAATGTGAACATTATTCTTATACTTCGACATTTAAAAAAAAATAATTTGTCTTGATTTTATTAGTTAATCTTATATTTCTTCATTAATATTTTCTTCATCTAATAGAATTTCTCGCTTTGTTTATTTTAGGATGGAATGTATAAACAAAATAAAGTTAATGGTGAGTAATTGCAATTATTTAAAATTAATTTAAAACCATTTTTTTAAAACAAATATTATATATTTAAGCAGCATAATAAAATTGATCATTAGGTCAATTAAAGTAATAGTTCCCTTCAACTAGTGAAATTCTTTATACAATTTCTAAGCCCTAGAATTAGAAGTGAGCTCACAGACAACAAGTGTCCAATCAATTCAGGCAAATGTGTAAAGGATACTTTAGTTCCAAGATGAAGTTTAAAAGATTTTTAGAAACAATATCACTTTTTTAATATTAAAAAAATAATGTGAAGTGACCATTCAACAGGTTATCAACAATATTTAGCCATTTATGTATAGAAGGATTCAGGGTTAGATGTTTTAGTTTTTAAAAATACATTGAATTTCAAGTTAAATAATGTGTTAATTTTTCTTGTGGTATCAGTTTCTTAAAATATAACAATTGTATGAGAATTTGCTTTTAATGTTCTGTCATTTGAGTGAATTCTATAGTTAACCCGTTGTTACTTGCGCTGTTAGAAAAATTAAACAATTCTGGATTTACTTAAAAATCATTGATGTCTTTCTACACATCAAGATAATGCTTTAGCAATGCCTTCCTGCATGATTCAACTCTGCATTTGTTCATCATTCAGTTCTGTGAAGGGGAAAATTCGAGAAGGCGCTGATTAATGCGGCACGGTGTGTTAGGTAATTTCTCACGCACGAGCAACCACTTTATATTTCAATATGATTATCACATCCACCCTCCTGATAGTTATTAACTCTGTATTCTGTCTTGAATACTTGCATGAAGATCAGAAAAGCTTTGTGTCTCATCTTGATTGTGTTTTTATGCCTTAAATCAAATGTTAGCCAGAACATTGTCCGCCATCCCTTTGCTCTACTTTCTGTTACTTAGTTTTGTTTTCTTTTTAAAGTTAAGAGTTATGTTGAGGAGCAACCAAGAGAAAAAAATGTGCTTCTTGTCAGAAGAGGCAAACCAGGTTCATGTAGCATCGTTTTAATGTTTAATCCAAAATCCTCTGAAAAGAACATCCAAGAAAGACTTTATTTGCAATGAATGTAGTTCTGAGGAACCTTGTTTTAGTTTATAAATGTTTCTATATGTTTGAATGTGGTGAAGTTATATTGCATTAATTGTATTCTATGATTTGCATTGCTTAAATAAATTTGCTTTATATAATACTTCACTTCATGACTGATTTTGTTTCAAGTGTTTATTATAGACAAAAATTATAAGGCTGCTTGTCATCTTTATGCATTATTACATCTATACAAGTTGTAGAAATCAACAACTAATATCTCAGAATATTAATGCACAAATTTGATTCATAATAAAACAATAAATTTAACAAACGGTTATTAGATAAAATCTAACATGCGAGTAATTGCATTACAAATATATGCACAAGTAATGGCGGGTTAACAGAAAACTTTGTATTTAATCTTTTGAGGATTTTGAAGTCCATATGACTGACATATCTCATATGTAATTTCTTTCTGACAATAAATAACAATTCCTCAAATTAAGTACAAAGTGAAGTTCTATCTATTTCTTTGAAGTAATTCATTTTTTTCATTTGAGAAAACCTTGAAAAAAGAAAGCATTAAAAATATAATTTTCAGTTGAGTTCATTTGCTACATTTTATAATTTTTGAGAAATTTATTTAATTACCTTTTTTTTTATAATTATAATTTCTATAACTACCTGTGTTTTTGTCTCCATCTAGATGAATCGGATCAAAGGAACAAATATATATCGACAGCTAAAGGTCATCCGGTTGGTATGGTGGATTCCGCTAGTTTTAATAACGTCAGTATAAATGTGATTACTTATCTGATAACTATTTTTGTGTACTTGTTTGTTATGTAAAATAAAATAACTTCAAAATTTATAGATATCCAGAATGCCTTTTTCTAAAGAAGAGAGATGTCAGAAGCTAAAAGAAACTGGTGAAAGTGTAACCAAAGAAAGAAGCAAATTATTGGCTTCAAGGAGGAAAATGTCTACCACTACCACCAATATAGAATTTCAAAGCTTTCTGGATAGTGATGAGGAGAAAGAAAACAGTCCAAGGAATACTTCCATAAAACAACTTTCAGAAATATCTGGCAAGGAGCTGAATCATAGAAAAGCAAGGCATTCTGAGAGAAATGAAGCAAAGAGTTCAGTTGCTGGTAGAATCTTATTAGATAAGAATGTCGATCAGGAAGAAAATAATGAAATACTAAATGAAGAGGTTGCCAGAAATAAGCAGGATGTAAAAGAGAATCAGAAAATCATTAAATCAAACTCTAATACATGTTTGAATTCGACAAAACCTAAAACAAGATATCCTAAAATTTCAACAACTGCAGAGAAATGTAATATTTTTGGGCATGTTCCTGAAAATTGTCATAGTATGAATGGTCATTCTGACAATGAATTAAACAGTTACAAAAATGTAGGAATAGGTGAAAGTACTCCTGAAATACATGGTTCCGCAAAGGTTTTCACTCATAAAAACTTGTCGAAACAAGAACCCAGAACAGAAGTTGCAAATTGGAAAACGAACCAGAATCTGAGTGCAAATTGTGGGAGAACAATAAAAGTCTCAGAATCTTCAAAAATATCTGACACGGAGCTGAACCCTACAAAAACAAGGCGTTCTGAGAGAAATGATGAAGCAAAAAGTTCAGTTGATGTTAGAAGTTTATTAGATAAGACTGTTAATCATGAAGAAAAAAATGAAGAGGTTGCCAGAAATAAACACAATATAGAAGAAAATCAAAAAATCTTTAAATCAAACACTAATATGTGTTTGAATTCTTCAAAATCTAAAATAAGGTATGCTAAGATTTCAACAACTGTTGAGAAATGTAATTTTTTTGGGCATATCCCTGAAAGTTGTCATAATATGAATGCTCATTTTGGCAATGAATCTCTAAACAGAAATAATAACATAAGAATAGGTGAAAGTACTTCTGAAATACATGGTTCCACAAAGGTTGCCACTGATGTCTCCCATAAAAACTTGTCAAAACAAGAACCCAGAACAGAAGTTGCCAATAAGAAAATGAACCAGAATCTTATTGCAAATTGTGCAGAAAACCTTTCAGAGAAAAAAATCAGAGAATCGAAGCCTGAATTTAAATCTCATAAAGAGGATGTTTCTAGAAGTATAAATGCTTGTCAATTTAATTTGCCTGGGAATAAAATCGATTTTGGTACCTCAAACCAGAATTTAAGTAGCTCTCTCTCAAAGAAAAATGTGAAAGAAATTTATGTATCAGCAGCTACTAGTGTTGAGAATTCTGAGAATAGAATTGAAGAAAGGAGAACAATAAAAATCTCCACATCTACAAATAAATGTACATTTGATTTGAAAAAAGCAGAGAAGAAAGATATTTTCCCCCAGAGTTTGAACAAAACTATCTCTTCTACTGAATCAATAAAGATAAATCATTTGTTGGTGCCAAATAATACTGAGAACCAACAAACTTCCCAATATCAGGACTACAATGTTAAAATGAATGATCAGAATGAATTTCTAACTAAATCAAAATATTCTGAGAATAATGAAAAAAGAACAAGAGTTTCTAATTCTCTACATACATGTTTATTTGAACCCATGGGGAAAAATACTAGAACCGATGATACCTTAAATCATACAGATATCCTGGCTAATGAAATATCAGCAGATAAGATGATGTCAAAGGTTAATACAAATGATGAGAATATAGACAAAAATAAGAGCAAGGAAGCAAAGAATGTTGATGTTGATTTAAATCATAAGTTTCATAATTCAGAAAAAAAAATTGAAACCAATTCATTGTCTCCAAAAAACGAAATGCCAGGAGACAAACAATGTACTGTGACTGATGAAGTAATTCCATATACTATAAATGGAAAGATTAATTTAAAAGAAACATGTGAAACTACTCATACTCATTCTAGTAAAGAATTTCTTAATTCAAAAATAAAAAAAACAGCCTCTAGTTTGATACCAACAATAACAAATAGAGTTTTTAAAACTTCTGATTGCTCAATAAAACGGTCATTGAAAATGAATACAGCAAATAAAATAAAAAATGAAAGAGATATTGAACAAACTGTAAGATGCAATAGAAGACAATCACAATTTAATCCTGAGAAAGGGAAGAGTGAATGTACCACCACAAATAGAAGGAGTAAGAGAATTCAAAATGCCAGAAGACAATCAGAAAATATTTTTGAGTCAAGTGAATTAAACACAAGTAGAAAAAGAGAAGAAAAACAGAATTCTGACAATGACTTTGATGAAAAGAAATATTTTAAAAACATATCTAAGAAAAAATTACAAACTACTAAAAAGGAAGAGTTAAAGAGAGATTTCATTAGTGCCCCCTGCATTTCCGATAAATATATTGACAGAAATAGGCAGAAGATAATGGATACTGGGGTTGCAAATAAAGTTCAATCTGAAGGCACATATTTCAAAAGGAAATTGAAAAATGTTAATGCAGATGGTGGGATTAATAAAATTCAAGATATGCATGTCACTTTCTCAGACAAAGGAAATGAAATTTGTGAGAATTTATGCAAATCACATCAAGACAAAAGGGTTGAAATCAAATTTGTCAACAAACACGAAAACAATAACCAAGAATCCAATTGCCAATTACTGGTACCTGAAACACCATCAACTGTTTCCGTGGAAAATTGCATAAACCTATCAAATGAAGAAACTCCTGATGCCATGAAAACATCAATAAGACCTGTGATAAATGAAATTATATCAGTAAATGAAGAAAATAATGATAATCCTGAAGAAGAAGGAAAACAACTATCAGAAGTAAATCATCCCACTGAAAATACAAGATCGAAGCCATGCTCATTAAAAAAATATAGTAAATCTATAGAACTGTGTAAAGCAGAAACATGTGAGTTTCAGACATGCTCTTCAGGTACTGAAGTAGCAGAGTGTGATGAAGTTAATGGACATAACTTGATACACAATAATTCTGAAAATAATGATGATAATAATAATAACAATAACAACATGGGTTTGCAAGAAAGAGAGAAAAATATTAATTCGAGCAATGAACTGAGCCATGCAGAATGTGTAAATTTGAAAAAAGATTCAAAGGAAATATATTCAGAAAACAGAGACTGTGCATCAGAGACTGTAATTAACATTGAAGGTGCATCTCAAGAAGTATTTGTTCAGAATGAAGTTCAAGGAAATCCTAATAGTGAAAATGAAATAATCAAATCAATAAATAACAATGAATGTGATACTAAAGAAGGAATTGCACAACTTTCTCCACGTTCACAGAGTGATGTTTCCTGTATTGTGACAAACGCAATTGTGCACAATTCATCACTGAGTTCCTCTCCCATAGACAATCAATACACAGTGAAGAGTGGAGTTGATACAGTTATAACACAATCTGTAAAAGTTTTTAAATTCTTTACTCAGAATATCACTTCTGTTGAAAAAAACAATGATTCTTTACATTTTCAGGATAAAAATAAAACTAATACTGCAAAACATATTGTGAATGCATTAGTGAAAGACAGTGTGGAAAAAATGTATATTCAAGAAACATTAACTAGTAAAAGACAATACACTGATAGTTGCAAAAAAGGAAAAGCAGCAGAAGCCCACTGCGAAGACTCCAATGACAAAAATAAAGTAAAAATGATCAATGGAGGTACATGTGCTTCAACAAAGGAGGGAGAAACTGAAAACTTCAAAAAACATAATTCCTCTAGAAAGAAGAAAAATATACATCCTGTCAGTCGATCAGATACTAAACCAATCACATCAACTAGGACTTTGAGAAAGCGTAAAGCAGTTTCATATACTTATAATTCTCCAGTTTACACAGAGAAAGAAAATAAAGGAAAACATGAAGTAAATAATTGCAGTCACAACAAGGTTGGAAGAAGTTCTGTGAAGAAAAGGCTATTTACTCAGAATGAAATAGATATTATTAGTTTATGTTCCGGAAGCCAGAACAGTTGTTTAACTGAAAATGGTATTCAAAAAGCAAATATGAAAGAAATTCCTTCAGATACTAAGAAATGTGATCTTAGTATATCACAAAATAATATTCATGATGAATTTGATAAACTTCTTTCAACATCACCACCACCCCTCCCAAAAAGAAATCCAAATCACTGGAAAGAAAAATACAGAAAAGATATTCAACTGAAGTCTTTGAAACAGACTTCAAACAACCGAAAGATTGTAAATCCAAAGAAAACAAAACTTAGTGTTTATTCAGACTTGGATTCCAGCAGTGATACGTCAGTATTTTTTGACAGTGCAGATCATGAAAGAAAGGCAATAGCTGCAGAAGATAAAGAAAAGGCAAATATTTTCTCGCCTATCAAAATTAAGAACACAAATTCTGAAATAAATTCTAAAAGCATGGATCCACAGTCTGATGAGAAGAATGCACATTTTCATCTAAATCCAAACAACTTAAATGATATTTTACAGATAAATAAATCAATATTATCCCCAAAGGTTATCTGTAATAAATTGCCTTCATCAATAGTAAAAGAAAGCAATTCTAAAGTTATCTCAAAAAATTCTCAAAAAAATGCAGATGAGGAAATAATGGACAAAGAAAAACAAGGGTTTCAAGAAGATGGTAAACTATTTGTTAAAAATTCAGTAATAGATGTTGAACCAGAGAAGGTGAAGAAGAGACGTTCAAAAAATCAAATTAAAAGTGAGAACAATAAAGAAATTGATAGTAATTCCAAATACAAAATACGAGAACAAATAATTCAAGAAGGAAATTCTGATAAATTAATATGTATGATGTCTACTTATAATAATAAAATAATAACAACGCAAATAGGAAAAACAATAAATAATGAAGGATGTTCTGAACAGTTACAGCAACTAAATGTAAACTGTTCCCTTGAAAGAAAGGCAGTTTACCAGGATACTGATTGTGAAAAAATGAATGAGATTTCTTCAGTACTGCAGAATAAAGAAATACAAAACAAAATAGAGAACATAAAATGTAAAAAATCCATTGATAAAAGCAACCAAAAGGATTTGTGCAATAAAAAAAGAAAACTTATTGTTTATTCAGATACTGATTCTGATTGTGATGTATCAGTTTCTGCTACCAATGCAGGATATCAAAACAAAGAAACATGCACAGTTAACCTACAAATAAATCAATCAAAAGAACATTTTTCGGAAAATGATTACAAAGGTTCTGAAACAAATGCTGCAAACAGGAATACCAGTAGAAATGAGCATTTTCACTTGAATCCAAGTGACTCAATTGAGAGATTGCAGACAAATGAATCAACTATGCAGTTGACTACAGTAGAGGTAACAAATCAACCTGAAACATTAGTGAACAACACTGAATTTTCAAAACTTCTGCAGCTTGAGAAAGGCAACAATTGTATTACAGAGCAGAGAGGAAAAAATGTTTTTCAGTGGAATGAAAACTATACAAACAAATCAACATGTCATGAAACTAAATGCAATATTTTAAATAAAATTGACATCCCCAATTGTAGAGAACAAGAATCACAAATATCTCCAATTCATTCTATGAACAAAAAAGAAAAATGTCATGAGATTAATGATAAATATATAAATGAAACAGGAAGTTGCAAAGACCAAAGGATTATTGGACGAACTCTGAAATGTATTGATGAATTTGAAAACAAGAGAAAGAAACCTAAAAGCTTTCAAAAACTAATAAAAAGCAATGAAATCTCTCCATTGTTTCTTAAGAATAGACATTGCAATAAGAAGTTTCTACATATTGGTAATTATGAATCTGAGACAATAATTAATAATGAGTATTTGCGAGGGATTGACTCTCAAATAGGTTATAAAAAAAGTATGAAGAATAATGCAGCAAACTACAGCAATGAAAATGATAGGTCAGATAAATTATTAAATGATTCTAAAAATATAACTAAAGATAATAGAAGAATTCAAAACACAAAGGAATTAGTGCAAGAAAATTCTGTATCTTGTTTTGAAGAACTATCTGAAAGTCAGGAACTAGTTGACTCTCAGATTTATCAGAATTTCCCTACATTACAGCCAAAGTGCCAATTAGAAATTAATGGCAAATTGAATATTGATGATGATGATAATGTTTCAATGGAAGAAAATGGATTTTCTAATCGTGAAACACATATTTGTGCTGTTGCATCTATTAAAAGTAATAAGATAGTTAAACGTCAAAGTAAAGGACAAATTCAATCAAAGAAGTCTACATCCCAACTTGGATATAAAATGCATAAAAATCAGATCGAACACTGTTTTCCACCGAAACCCTTGGTTTGTAAATGGAGTTCTGAAACAGATGGGTCATCATTGAGCAGCTCAGAGACAATAAATGGTAAGGAAATTAAAATATAAGTATTAGAAAATTTTACATCTTGAAGCATCCTGATGCTAGTATTCCTTGCAAGGATCACCTGTTCTTTCTTCATTGCTAATAATTTTTTCTCACTAATAGTTTTTATTTATTAATTTGAAGTTGACATACAAAAAATTATATAAAAATATTCCACACCTGCCATTCAATACAGTGCTTTTCATTGCATGCCTTAATTTTTAAACAACAAAGTTTGTACAAAAATTATGAAAATGTTACTTTTTGCAATCATCATGTACTGCAGGTTGTTGGGCATGTCACCTGTTCCTGAATTCCAGTAGGCTTGTGGGTGTTTGGTCCTCCCAGTGTTCCTGATCTAACAATTTCTTTTGTGGACTCCCCACATTTGCCTTTATAGAGTGCTCCCCTTGCCCATAATGGAATGCTTTCTCTGGGAATCTTTCTTGTTCCATTCCATTGACGTGAGAGAACCATTTCTTCCAACTTTCATTAAACTACAATCTTTGTTTTGAGACTTTTACTACAAAATTTACTTCTTTGCTGATCCCTTAACATAACTCTAGTGTGATAACTTACAAATCTCAATTGTTTGGTCTCCACTTTTTGCTCATCCCCATTTTTCCTCAAACTTCTGATTCATACAGAGTAGAAAGGTAGTAGAGTGAGTATTGGTCTTGAAATCATATTATGTATTCTTAATTTAGTCTTTTGAGACATATCCCTTCCATAATATTGTTTGAATAGTCCATTTGTTTTGTTATATTTGTGGATTGTGTTTCCTATTTTCTCTAATCTCTGACCAGTGATACTGCCTAAAATGTTAAATTTAGATTTTCTATTACTCACCCATTAATGACAATTTTGACTCTCCTCATTCCTTTTCCTTTTTATGGCATTGCTTTTGTCTTACTTGTGGAAATTTTCATGTTGTTTCAGTGCTATTATATACAATTCATTTGCTGCAATTTGTAGGTCCTCTTCTGATTCTATTGTTATAACTACATCATCTGCCTAAAGGATTGTTTGGATCTTCTGCTTTTTACTGAGATTTATCACTCTCTTGATTAATAGTGTCCATTCCTTGATGTTATGATTGGCATATATATTGAACAGGCTTGGTGACCTATTGCATCAGTCTTAGTCCTCTGTTTATCTGTGAAATATTTTGTCATATTTCCATTATTCTTTTTGATACTCATCTATGAGTCTCTTTCGAAATCCTTTCCTTATTCCTGAACATATCTTTTCTTCTTCCACATTATTACCCACATTAATTCTCTATTTTTCTCCAAACTTTATTGAACTGTTCCATCATTCATTCATATCATTTTACTTCAGTAGTACATGTGTACAATTAAAATAAAACAATTATTTTAGTTTTAATTTCAGCGGTTCTACAGCTCTATAGTTTCTATTGCTCAAACAGTCTGGTATTATTTGAATTGGTTATGAAAAATGATAATAATTGTATTGTAAATTATCTCCTTCCAAAAGGATTTACACCTCCTCATGTGCATATTTCTCTTTGTCAAACTACTTGACACTGCCTACCATTGTTATATTCTTGTATACTTTAAACCCACTTAAGATGTACAATTGACATTTTTGTTGCATACATAGCCAGTACCTGTGCTTAGAATTTTTGGAGAAAGTTTTGGAGCAATTTTTGAGAAAATTTTGGCATTTCTGAAAATGCAACATCTTCTGCTCAACTGCACTTAAAATCTTTTGAGATTTTGAGAAACTTTGTAGGAGATCATTTGAAGCTATTGTGGCCATTAATGTATTTTTGTTTACTTACTTTTTGGCAATTATTATTGTAATTTGATTCAAATCATAAAAAAATTACTAATAATTTGAAAAACATGTTAATAAAATGATGTTAAGATCTGATACTGAAGAAAAGAATGCATTAAGGAAAAATCTCTTGCATTTAGGTTTAGGGTAAGTTCGAAAAAATTTGAACTTTTGCAGTTGTTGAAAATTTAAAGGTTTAAATGAAAACAAGATTTTAAATATATTAATAAGTATACTGTTTTTGAGAAAATTTTGGATTAATAAAAATTTGGAGCTGTTTTTGAGCAAATTTTGAATGTACATGACCTCATTGAAAGAACTGATTATAAACAACAAATTTAATTTGAAGGAAATATCTCTAGCTTCAATTTTGTAAATGTAGGAAGTCACTGGAAATAATTCAAAATTTTAAAATTTTCAAACATTCAGAGTTAATTGTGAACACCTGACGTATGCCACCTTTATAAGTGTATTTTACTCTATTTTTACAAGAAATTTAAAGAAAAAGTGGCCATTTCTGAGGAAATTTTGAAAATATCCCAGGTGCTTATGTAAAGTATCCCCAAATTTTAAAGAATGTTTTCAAAATTTCAAAGCTTCAATTAGAGCCAGATGGACAGAGCTTTCTTCAATTTGGAAAATCTCTTACCCATGGTTTAAGCGCTAGTAATGTTCACAGACGGACGGACGGATATTAGCTGATCCCAAACGTGTATTTCCATTGAAATCTCGAAATAGATTTTCCGGAGCACTACATAACTTTCTCTGTACCACGTACATTACTCCGTGGATACTTATGTATACGAGAAAGTAATAACAGGAGGTAGGATTGACCATAGCCGGCTGGCGCGCGCACTGCTTGTACAGAAATTCAAAGTTTGTTTCAAGTCTCATTGCGCTATTTAAGTTTCCTTACTTCAGCAGCTGGGCGAGTCGCATATACTTCACCCGTCTTCATGCGAAGCGAGCTCTGAAATGAGGGCATTTTCCGAGTCTGCTTAGAGAAGACCTTTTTCTTGCGATCAATGAGCTTTGGAATTGATAAATCACGATGTATTTTCTTAATGGAAATGTACCAAGGCGCGCATAGCGCTGCCCTCAGATACTCATTTTGAACTACTTGCTGTTTTTACTTTCAAGCATAATGCATAGAAAATGCATTGTAATGCTGTGGGTGGAAAACGACGATTTTTCGGCTGAAAATATACGGCTAACAACAACAACAACAACAAAGATAATTCTTGTTCCTATTTGTAGAAATTTCTTCCTGGAACGGGTTGTGTAGTTACAATCCATGTATGTTGGAGGTACCGAAAAATGGATTGCCGGCAAAACATCTGCCGGTTCGTCCGCCTGTTTGGTCAACGCTTCTGACCGAATCCATTTACACGATTTTCTCCAAAATTGATATTCCCCGATCGATCTGAATGAACTCGAGGTTTTGCGAGTTCGAAACGGATATTTTGATTTTGGAGGTACTTTACATAGAGCCTCAACATCTTCAAAATGTTCTGAGAAATGACTCTAAATTTTTTGATTTCATTTTATCCTCGGAGAGCGCAAATGAGTCTTAGAAGAATGGCGTAGGACTCATTTTCGTTGAAATCCCTGATTTTTCGAAAGTTGAAAAGTTCATTTTTTTCGACGTTTTTCCTATCACTATAATATTGAAGATTATTTTTTAAAATAAAATCTTTTGTTCAAGGACATCTTGAAATAATATGAAGTACATTTGTTTTGAAAATAGCAGCAGTTTTACGTAATTTTCCATTAAAAAGGCAATTAAAATAATATAAGTCAATTATTTTCTCAAAAACCACTTTATTTTTTTCTTAAAATTTATTTGCATCTATCAAAAGAACGGTATAAAAGTGGGACTGATCGCATTTTCGGCCAACTATGTATTTTCGAAAATTTAAAAAAAAAAAACTAATATTTAAAATGTACAGTGTTAATGTACTTTGTGTAAAGTTGGTTATTCTGGAAGAAAGTCCCTATATTTGTTCCTCTGCAGACACTGTGTACAATTATATTCCTGGCAGCACCAACTGTTATTCTGCGAGTTGTGAATTCAAGTGTGTGTGGAAGATTTTTCATTATTGAAATATGTACCGTAGTGACATTTTTTAAATAAAATAATTTGATATCGTTATCACTAGCAGCAATAATAATTAAGATCATGAAATTAACGAGTGTAACACGTGACCAAACATTAGTGCTCGTTGCAAAGAGCTGGAATGTGATTAGCGTATTTTCGAAACCTATTTCATTTTTGTTGTGTATGAATTGTATTACCGACAATTGTCTCGATGAATAACTACGAGTAATACAAACATTAAAGTGTCCACTGAAAATCAAAGCCAGAACCAGTGCGCGAGAGGTGAACATAATCGAAACGAACACTGCGCATATAATTATGTAAGTAATGTTTCAATATGGACTTTTATTGAACTTTGATTTAATTAACTTAAATGATTTTCTTACGCGTTATATATTAGTGTTTTGAATTTTGGAAATAACATTTCCGTCATACAATGGAGTTGCTGACCCCAGACTGTTGGGACACCACCCGCCACTGGTTTCTGAGTGTATAGAACGTAGTTTTGCATTGTCGAATGTGTTGATGTATTTCCTTTAAATAAATTGAACTTCAACGCTTAATTAGCTTCAGTTTGTAGTGCGTTTTTGAAGAGATGGCTGAGATGGGTTAATGAGGATATAAAATTGCGGTACTAAAACTTTACGTAACCGTTACTGATGCGAGAAAGTACGTGCTATTCACGTCATTAGTGTCAAATGAGCATCTGTTGTAATTGCCCAACTGTGGCATGCGTAATCCAATTGCAGTCTAATAATTGCTTTACAAAGCATTAAGCACTTTGCTGTTGCCTTTTCGCTCTTAATTTGTCAATCTTTCCTCCGATGGCCGAACGGCTATGCGGCGGGTTCGCGCGCCAAAAGGCTGCTCCGCTCGCTGATTGGTGGGCGCAGCGGACCGAGCGACCGTCGGGCCTGCGCTGCCGACGGCCAGCACCGCTCGGGGTGCTGCCTGCAGCTCACGTGTCGATGCTCCGAATTTGGGCGGGCGATTTGAAATAACTCCGCTGGCTCGAAACGGCATCCTCACAGCATGTTCTCAATATACACAATGTTATGTGAATCCCGAAGGCCGAAGCCTCCCACCTAACTTCGACACGAAGCGTCTTACAAGCAATTTGTGTAATTAAATTATGATTTATAAATACATAATTTGCCTTTCCACTCACGGGTATTCGTTATACCGACTTACAAAAATGCGCTTTTTATGTTACATTAGCTAAATCAATCCACAATTCACTTAGAACCCATGAGGACTGTGATAAGACGATAAAAAATGACATCGATGTGTGATGTATCGATTAGGTTCTTGTCCCTTATCGTACCCTTCGATTCCGACAGTGCGAGATCGGTGTATGAAAGCGAGGTTTGAGAGGCGGGAGAAAGGGTATTTTTTTATAGCCCACTTAAACAACTCGTCAAGGCCTACTACGAAATTTAAATGTAGAAATGCGTTACTCAGAAGGTGCTTTTCCATTTATTCGTGGTGACTTGTAGATTTGTTGTAGTTAAAGTGGTACTGGTAATGCTGGTCAGTACAAATTAGAATCAGTACTTTAAATTAGATTCTCTTATATGTGAAGGAGGTTTGTTAACGCCGGAGAAAGAGCAGAGGCGCGCACCACATCGTAAACGCAGCATATTGCTTGGTGTCAAAATGCGTTGGTAATAGAATTGCGTGCTCTTGAAAAAGACATTTGACAAGAATTTTGTCATGATAGTACGTCATTCCATTTCGTCATTATGTTGTCGTTCGCTATGTTCTCGCGGAAGTTAGCCGATTTCTTTATGTTCGATACTATTAGGGACAAGAACCGTAAACTACAACTGCAACAACACTGCACTCCTTAACCCATGGCTTCAAGGCCGGAACGCTGCTGGTAGGCCTTAGCTCGTAAAGAGCTGTTGTGCCTAAATACATACATACATTGAAGTTATTATTATATGGGTATCAGCCATTTATGTCCACGCTACACATTATCTTCCGAGGCTCAGTTCCCGGAGGGATTAACGTGTGTCATTGTGGGGATCAATTTTTTTCGGCTGTACCCCTTGGTAAGACAAGGTTGTTACACCTGCCGCAACCGACATTACTTTACGACGGTTGCCGCAACCGTTTGCGCCACGGGGGCTGGGTTGCAGCTATTATTTATTTTATATTAATTATAGTATTATGATTAAACTCATAAAACCCCTTTCGGGCTAAGACCTCTTGAGAGTCATGGATAGTTTAAGAGTAAACATAATATCAGCCAACTCTAATGTTAATGATGTGGGAACTGAAATTACCTTTCTTCATATTGAGGCTGATGTAGGATTTCCACAAAATGAATTAAGTAGTTTTTAATATTCTTATATATGTAATAGAATAACGTCACTCACGGTTAGACTTCTTTCGATCCACCAATTGAAACAAATTAGGTACCTCGGCCTCGTGGTGACGAATAATTTCCTTTTTTTCGGGTCCATCCGGAAGATTCTAAGAAGTTTCTCTATACTTGGATTTTTATTTCTTGGCGTGTGAGGGCCAGTCTTCTTGATGGAATATCTCATGTCTTTTCGCGTCTTTCTCCGTCGTGCCGCTATGTGTTTCTTGCATGGTTTCCAACACTGCTCGATACGATTGCGATTGTGACATCTACCGGCACGACCGAGAAAGACGCAAAATGCTATGAGGTTCGTGAAAACAGCCCCTTGCAAATTATGAAATAGAAACCCCAAGTATAAATACTGTACGTGTTTTTTGGCGGGTATTAAGAAACTAAAACGCGTTGTGGTAACTTAAGGCACCATAAGGGGTGATGAATAGCTCATTAGATTCCTCCAATTATGACAAATCGATTGGTACAACAGATGTCCTGAATGACGTTGCAACAATTGGCAGGAAAGCATTGGTTGGCAAGCTGGTGTGCGTGTAAGTTTCCTCCCGCGTTAGTAAGATTTTAGCTCTGTTAAGCGATTGCCAAGGGCTTGGCACGTTTGTTGTTTACAATCATGATTGATTACTTTCGATTCGGTTTGGTTCTAGCTGCAGATTTTGTTCACACATTTGATTTAAAGAAACATTATTCTATCAGAAAACTAGTGACTACCTTTTCATTTCGAAAATGGTTTGAAGTAAATATTATCATCACCTCAGAGATGATGCTAAGGTACTTCTTTATAATTAAATTAAATGTATGAAAAATTTGGATTCACCTTTAATCGGCTATGAAAAGAGCGAATATCGGGACCCTGTGTTATTCGAATAGAAGAGACTCCCTCCGTTTATTTTTACGCACAGTTATTTTTAAAAACATTAAAAAATTATATCAATTATTGTAATTGAGAAGAATGTTACATACTTTAAACTTTAATAATCTTGTGGGGGAAATTTTCAGAATGTTCGTAAATACAGTCCAAAAATATTTGTATCAAATTTTGTACCAAATGTTACATTTTAATTTTTTTACTCGTCAAGTTTTAATAAACATTTGGGGTCATATATTGCGGTTCAATTCATGCATTTTGACGTGATAATGCATTATGACGTGGAAGAAAAACAGTTAATTTGGTGAGCTACGTAATATTTGGGCTTAACTTGTACACAAATAAAGTCTAGAAAATCCACAAAATATTAGTGGGTCGTACATATTACAATACGTTTGTTCAACACGTTCCGGAAGACGTATATTGAGAGGTATGTCCTTCTTAGCTGGTTGGTTATATTGTTGCAAAACTCTGGAAAATCTGCACATATTTGCAGATGAAAAAATTGAGAATGACTGCAAAATACGTAGATGTTAAAACGTTTGAACTACAAGTTAATTTTTGTTCGGAGGCTGCTAAATTTTTACTTTCCTGATTTCTGAGAACATTAGGAAATCTAAAATAGCTTAATTTTTATTTTCCCACCCCTTTGCCTCTGCCACTGTCGCGCCAAGTTGGTTATCGTGGGAATACTAATTTATTTTGGAGACAAATGAACATCTCATTTCGAGAAATAGTACCTACAGAAAAAATACTCGTTTTTTTACCTCAAGAGACAGAGAAACATCACACACGAGAATGATCATGGACGTACTAAAAGAAATATCGACATACACTACTAGCGAACACGACAGACGTCCTCCCTCTGTCTCCTGTCCGTCTCTTTCTGTCTCCTGTCGTGTGCGTCTCTATGTGGGTGTCTCTTTCTGAGTGTCAGTATCTCACTGTTTCAGTATCTTGGTCACTCTCTCTCTCTCTGTATGTCAGTCTCTCTGTCTCTCTCTGTATGTCAGTCTTTAATCTCTCTCTCTTACGCAAGTTGCTGTCCGCACCTTTGTGGCCTTACCCTTTGTCACACGGCAACACTCAGCAACAACGAAGCCCAGGTGGAGAGCAGTTTGAAGGAAAATTGAAATAAAATGAGGCGCAATATTGATCTGCAGCGCCATATAGTGGAGTTACAACAAAATCAACAGCATATCAACCTTCAGTGGGAAAAACACGTAGATGTGCCAACTTTCATGGAGATTAGTCACACGGGGTCGGAGTTCACTGCTCTGGTATATATCAACATCCAATTTTATATATAGATATAGATTTTAACCGTTAGCTTGCAACGTCTGCCACTAGCGACCCAGAGGCGACGGTACTGCCTTCGGAAGCTCTAAAAGCCACGTGTTGTGTACATCGCATTTCGTCGGATCTCTGTAGGAATTCAAGAAGTTATAGAAAAACAGGACATACTTTCTCGCATTAGAATCCGTTACGTAATAAGGTATTATTGCAATTTATGTCATACTACATCAGCTACAACTTGAAAACGTCCAACTCAACCTATTCAGATGAAGCGCTTGTGGAACATACTTGCATTTATTTCGATAGTCAGCATCAGTAGTCATTTATTATTTTAAAAAATACATTGAACTGTTGCAATATATTCAGAATATTATTATAGAAAAAAGATATTTATTTTTTCTGACACGTTATTACTTTCGATTTTCGATACGGATTCGATATTCATTGCATAACTCATCTGGATCGAGAGGATCATGGTGACGAGAGAAATGTGAAACAATTGAATGTTGCTACAGGTTATGTTTCGGAGGGAAATATGTCAAACCAAGTCGAATTAACAAATAATTAATTCGTAAATAAATATGAATAATTCACATTATGTAAAAAATAAAATTATGGTGCAAAAATAACTATTGTTAGTTCTAAGTTAAATTTATCATCTATAAATCTGTTTCCTTTCTTACGAATATTGTCCACATTATACAACCAGCCGGCAACAATGACAAAAAATTCAATCGACATGTTGCCATTTTGCGAACTGACAGCGCGTCAAACGAAGCGCGAGAATTTGGAATGTGCAATTTCCATTTTTGTTCAATTTTCGATAATACAGAGTACGTTGAAATTGTGACCAGCATCACTATCTTTACCGTTTTCTGCTACATACGTAGAAAACATTTTAAAAAATGGAACCGTTTTTGATCAAATAATTGTTTACAATTTAAAAATTGCTTGTTTCACGAAAAAATACTCATATTTTCTTAACATTGAAAATGACATTATTTATAGATTTTCTGATGAACAAGTTTCATTAATGAAAATAATTTTCACTTAATAATTGTAGGTATAGGAAGACAAAGTATGTGAAATATTGCGATTTTTGAAAAATCAGACGTTTTAACGAAAATGAGATCTGTACTATTCTCTTAGGATCACTTATGCTAGTATCCGAAGAAAAAATTTTATCGGCAAAGGACCAAATTTTTGAAAATGTCCTAGGGTGTTCATGTAAAAATTGAAATATTGCTTTAAAATTTAGGGGCAGCCTGATCGATCAGGGAATATCAGTTCTGGTGAAAATCCTGCTTACGGTTCAGCCGGCAGTACTGATAACAGACAGACTGACATGTTTTACCGTCAATCGATTTTTCGGTATAAAGGACCGAGAAATCAAGGACTCTGATTACATAACCTTGTTTGATGAAGTAATTTACTACACATAGTGACAAGATGTATCCATTACCACGGCCTGCCAATAAGAGTTTTTTGTCGAGAATTGGCCGTTTTTTTTAAGCAATATAATACTTTTTCAGGAAAGTAATAAGTGTTTTGATAGATTCATTGCTCCTACGAGTACATATGTGCAATAATAATAATAATAATAATAATAATAATAATAATAATAATAATAATAATACTTTTAATCCCTATTAGGGCAAGGGCCTCTTGCACACGGCAAGGAGGCTTACATTACGAAGTTGGTCCTCGAGCAACCATCTCGGGGACCTTACATGGACAACTCATTAAAAACTGATTTAATGAATTTCTACATTTTTTAAAAAATTTTTTATGGTATTTCGCAAATCTTGGCCATTGATTATCTAGAAGTTCCCGGAAGTCATCGGTCCATCCACGATGTTGCCTACCAACGTTCCTCTTCCCTATTCGTGGGTCCCAGGAAGTAGTTCTGGATGTGTATCTGTCACATTGGAGTTTTGAGATGTGGCCTCCCCACTTCCATTTTAGTTGATGAGCAGTCAGCATTGCAAACTTTTATTTATGTTCTTCTTCTGATTAATCATTTCTAATTTTATTTTTGAAGATATTCGAAGAATTTTTCTTTACTATACTAGCACTAGAAATTAGTATACTAGCACCTAAAATGCAATTTGAGGGAGTTGTAAAGCTTTCTCCGGAGTTAATTGCATTCGATTGCACTGGACAAGACGAATCAAGTATCTCAAGTTATAACCCGATATTTTCTGAATATTCAGAAAAAAAAAATCCAGAAAAAAGCTCTGTATTGGATTATGTAAATCACATACAGTGTTGTAACGCTTTGGATTACTATACTGGATATCCTGGGATTTGATTCATAATATTGAGAAACAGTTATACACTAATGTAATGAAATTAATTTTTTTAAAGTACTTCTGTCGATATTTTTCTTGTAAGTATGTTTCTCAGGATAGATGAGACATCAACTTAAGTGATTTTTAAATTTTTTTAATACCTATGAACATTGATATCACAAAGAAACATTTTGCCACTTGAGGCACCAGGATAGTAACTTCATATTTGAGTTATCTATACTACTATGAAAATCATTAATTTGTTTTCTAATTCAGTTTCTTTACCGTTTACATTCTAAAATAAAAATTTATAGACATTCTACATTTTGTATTCTATTATTACCAATTTATTGTCCTTGTTCAGAACTACAATAGTAAACTTTATGAGGTAGGTATCTCAAGTACCTGTAATAATTTGTGTCTTTTCTAGAATTTCCGAAAGAACAAAGCACTTCTGTGAGAAAAATGAAGAAAAGAAAACCCATGACATCCTTTTTAAAGGTACTCAAGATCTTTTTCTTTCTGTTAAATATCCATATTCTTTCTAAACTGTAAGTACTAATAATTTATAAATTGATATAGTTTCAAGTTGTCAATTTTCAAATATATTACAATATTTTTTATTGTTGACGTGGTTACCATGAATCCTCAATGATTTCTTTGTAACATTTTATTTTACAGAAAGAGTTTCAAAAATCTACTCGCGAGAAAAAAAAATGTATAAAACAAATTTCTAGCAACATTTCTAATACTTTTTTAGGACACTTTTCACAATCATCACATATATTTCATGCCAGAAGGTTTGTATTACACATATTGTACTTTCCCTTCCCTTAGTTCTTTTAAAAATAAGATACTCAGGATCATACGATTTTGTTGAAATACAGTTGTGCATCCATTCACTTATAAATAAATATCATTTTTACATTAATAGGACAGATTCAAGAAAACATCTTGATAAAAATGTTGGACATAAAATTCAGAAACTTAAAAATAGTATACAAACATTAGATGATTTCATTGAAGGCATGGAAGAAAGAATTGAAGATGTGAATTTAATGGTAATGAATCAGAATTGCCATGAAGAAGATATAAAGCAAAAGTAAGCTAAGAATCACTAATGTACAAATATTACTACACAACTATTATTTTATTAAATATAATGTTTTGAATTGAGGTATGTTGCCCATGATCTTTGAAATAATGCAAATAATGAAAATTCATCGGCTGCTTTTTAAACTTTTAATATATTAAAATTTATAATAAATAATATAAATAATTTATTATACGAATAAAAGTTAATTTAACGACATGTAATCGACAACGATTCTACAAAAAGGAGTGTATTAGTAGATTCGAATTATTTATCAGCTCTTCTTCAGGAGTTGGAGCAGTGTTCTTTCAAAGTTTTGTAAAGATTAGTACAACACAAATGCGTAAAATAAATAATTTAAATAATATGCTGGTAAATTCACCACGATCATCGGTGCGGTAAAACCGTGTGCCCGATATCCTTATTGCACGTAATTTTAATTCAATATTCATTCAAACTTAGCTTCACATGGGCTTCATTGTTGCTGGGCGTTGCCGTATGACGCAGGGGAGGCCGAGGAGAACAGGTTAGGCGGCGCGAGAGAGGGACAGTCAGAGGCAGAGAAAGAGAGAAACAGAGAGAGAGAGAGAGACGGAAGGAGAATGAGGGAGGGAGGAAGGGAGATGAAGAGCATGACAACGTATGCCGGGCTCCACTAGTATATTAATAAAGTATTTTAAACTGTGAATTAAAAAGCCAAGAGATGTAAAATTCACCCTCATCTTTAGTTAATTATTACTAAAAAGAAGAAAATCTTAAAAAATGTTCAAAAAGTTTTGTTTTTTTTTCAGTTTCATTCATATTGAAAATGAATATACGAAATTTGCTGCTGATTTGTCAAATGAACCAAAGTTTGATATACAGCATTTAATATCTTCTTTGGGAGAAAATTTCAGAAAAGAGATATTACGAAATATGTTGAAGAACTTACGTAATGTGTCTGATACTTGTCTATAAAATCTGTAAGTGAAAATAAAGATACATATGCTGTGATAATTACATTTTTAATTTAAATATATCTGTTTTATCTGTATTCATATCTATTGATTGTAATCTAATTATATGATATCCCTGCTAATTATAAATTGCCCTCAATAATTTTGAACTACTTTATGTATAAAAGTGTTCTTTGTGCTAATGTTTGTTGTCCATAATTTGTTCTTCTGAAATAAAAATGTTTAAAACTTTATTATTTTTTTAATGAAATAAAAAACTCTCCATAGACCATTATGCAAGATTGTAAGCCTTTAAATCAATCTTACTTCTGAATAGTAAAAGTTCAAAATTTTGATGCAATTAGTTGCATTCAATGACAAATTTTTGTTGAGTTTCCAACAATCTTGTGGAAAGTAATGGAGGTTCAGTGAAATGGGAACAGAGAAAATTGTCGAATTAACTCTTTCTGCCACCCCCATCCCTTAATCTTCCCTGATCCTCTACTAACATAACTCTAGGTCAAGTAATATAGTCTGTAAAAGTCATAAAATGTGACAATATAATTAAAAATACTCTTCAATTAAATGTATCCAAGATAACGCATTGAAACATTCCCAACTCTTCCTCAAATCGAAATTATTGACTAGAAAAAGTTGAATAATCCTGTTTTGTGGGAAATAATATTATTTTTATTTTAGCTTAGAAGCGAGTTCGAGTTTTCCAACAATTTCCGAGATACTATGTGCAAAGAGCTGAAGATGGGGACTTCTATAAAGCCCCCTTCTCCTCGCCCAACACACCGTTTTCCGTATGTTATTTACCATGCTTGAGAAAACAAGTGTAAATTTTCAACTGTTCAGGATTTTTTTCCATTTCACACATTGGTGCATGAGGCTTAAAACAAGAGGGTGCCTACTACATTTCTGAACAACTTTTTTTATTTACTTATGACATCTTGTACAACAATTTTCTGTCTATTATTGAGATATATGTTTTCAGTATGTGCCATTATAAAGTTTGTTGTTTTAATGCAATATTTGTAATATGATGTCATAACGTGCAGTAGTCGACTGCGCACCCATTGAAAGAACGCCGGAACCTAGTACCGTCGCCGCTCAAAAGAGGGCGACGACAGCAGGCGCGCGGCGCCGTTACGCGCGACCAGGCACGAAAAAGGAGGCACCACCACTACCCGGGGGCTGGCCAGCCTCAGCCCAGCGGATATAATTATAATAATAATAATAATAATAATAATAATAATAATAATAATAATAATAATAATAATAATAATACTTATTGAGTCAAATATACAATTACAATAGTGTATGACGAGTCAAATGATGTCCTTGGGTGGAGAGAGCGGAAGTTTACATTACTGTTCAGGAGCAAACAAGGGGCCATCTCAGCATTTGCTCAAAGAACCAGGGAAACTGAACAAAACGGGTCAAGGGGTCTAGGTCAAGGGGGCCTTGACCTAGAAATACAATACTTGTTACAGTTAGATTAAGGTATAAGTAGATAAATTATCGGCTAATAATTAACATTTCAAGATGTTATTTGATTGATACTACTTATAATAATAATAATTACATTAATAAATAATAATAATAATAATAATAATAATAATAATAATAATAATAATAATAATAATATTGGGGACAATACATATCAATTATGTTTGCAACTACATCAAATTTAACAATAGTAGTACATTCTATATTTAAAACTTGAAATGGTGAGGAGGCAAGTTTTCAACAGTTTTTGTTCTTCTTTCAATTTGTACACGAAGTCCAGAGAGAAACATATTGTTTTTAATTTTTTATTTATTTATTCTTTTTGTCAGGCATTCTCCTTCTATTTCACATGATGCGATATGCCAGTTCTTTTTTCTTTGTTTCAGCTCGAAACAGTTTACATGAAACAGAAAGTCTAATGGGGTAAGAAATTCTTATTTATTTATATTTTTTAAGGGAAATGTTGTAATTTGAACATTTATTTACACTGTAGATCATGTTGTCAAGCAGGAAAGCTTTCAATTTACTTTTAAATAGTATGAGAATTGGTTATGTCTTTAATATCATTGCCTAGTTTGTTTGTAAAGTGTAATGCCCTCTATTGGGTACTTTTTGATAAAGTGTAGTTTCAGAGTGGGGGAACATGTAGGTTATCCTTTTGACGGGTGTTGTAGTTGTGTACATCAGAATTTAAAGTAAAAGTGTCTTTGTTTTCGATGAGAATTTTCTTTGTGAATACCACCATTTCAAATATATATACATGCATGGTAGAGGAAGAATCCTTAGTTTATTAAACAAAGGTTTGCAAGACTCCAGCTTATGAGTGCTGGTCATGTTCGCAATTCTTTTTTGGATAATAAATATGCGAGTGCTTTCAGGGCATTTCCCAGATATTATTCCATATTTTCTGTGAGGCACATTTGCCAAAATACATTGTTTGAAGTGTCTCTGGGTGTATAGGGCATAGAAAGATTTGCTGAGCTTCTCGTTAAGATGCGAGATGTGAGTGTACCTTTTTAAGTTTTCTTGAATTGTTAGTTCGAGGAAACTAGTTTCATGAGTATCGTCACAGGATTATTGTTTATGAGCAAATGCTGTGAGAGTTTTCTTTAGATAGGGGATTCATGAAATTTAGAGAGACTGTCTTGCTGTGTTTATGATGAGTTTGTTGTCTTGAAACAATTTTACTAGTGCTTGCAAAGTTTCGTGAGTTTCTTTTTCTAATGATTGTTGTGTTTTTGCTTTGCTGTATGTTTGTGTCATCTGCAAACAAAATTATTTTGTTGTTCTTAAAGCCAAAGGCATGTCATTTATGTATATAAGGAATATTATTGGCCCAAGGATGGATCCTTGCGGGACTCCACAATTTGTTATTTGAGGACAGGAGTAGTATGAGGAGATTTGTTTTCTTTAGTGTGTTGGAGGGCAACTATTTGGTTTGGCAACGGTTTGATAAATATGATTTGATCCACTGGCCTGCAATGCCTCGAATCCCTGGATTTCTAGTTTTCTTAAAAGTATATGATGGTCAATGATGTCAAAGCTTTTGACAAATCCAAGAAAAGGCCAATGGGAATTTCCTTCTGATTTAGTGCAACAAGTATGTCATTTAGAAAGGAGAAGATGGCTGTGTCTGTGGATCTATTACTCCTGAACCATGTTGTGCATTTGTAAGGACATTATTTGCATTGAGAAACTGTTTGAGTCTATCATTGAAAAGCCTTTCCAGAATTTTAGAAAATCCTGATAACAGTGAGATAGGTCTGTAGTTCATTGGGTCATAACTATTGCCCTTTTTAAATAATGGTTTACTTTTTGCTGTTTTGAATATATCTGGGAATATGCCTGATTTTAGAGAGTAATGGCAGATCTGAGAGAGTAGTTGCACTACACATGGAGCACTGTGTTTAATAAGAAAATCTGGAATGTAGTCCAAGCCTGCTGAGAATTTATTCTCCATTTGTCCAATGATTTTAAAAGTTTCAGATGGTTTCATATAAAAATATGGAATTTACAACTTGTGTAATATTAGTGTTTGGTTGGTGATGTATAAAGCAGCACCCCGGCGGGCAGAGGGCAGTTGAGCGCCTGCCAGCAGTATCGAGTGCATCAGTGAATTGTGAACAGTGTTGACGAAACAGCAAAGTGTAAGGACTCTCTTTCTCGGATAGATATTTCGATGCCACGGCTAATGACTTTGGAAATCTCCCTGGGCAACGTTGACTTTCGCATACACTGGTACATCTTCAGGAAAATTGTTGGATCTGGCTTGCATATAGTTACTCTGTACTGGTGTGAGATCAGAATAAATCTTTTTTAAGAAATTACGTTTTTTCGGACATAACAAAGTATTTAAAATGACATTAGGAAAGTCTAAGCATAGAAGCACACGTAGCATGTACCAAGGATGTCACACTTTTGTAACGTTTTGAAAATGTTATAGAAACTTAGTTTACAAATAATTCTACAACTATTTGCAAGATATATTATAACATGATGTATTACAACATTATTATTATTAATATAATAATAATAATAATAATAATAATAATAATAATAATAATAATAATAATATAATAATCATAATAATAATAATACCGAGCGGAGTGGCTCAATACGTAGCACAGTGGGTTCGCAATCGGGAGGTACGGGTTCCATCCCTGGACCGACCGTCCTTAACGGGGTTTCTTGTGATTTCCCTTGGTCCTAAGATCTGGATGCTGATCCCCACTAGAAAAGTAACGTGCACTTACCCCGATAATCATGACTGAGCCCCGGTGGGATGCGCGTATCGCGTGGCCTCCTGATGGCCAATTCGCAGGGAAAATAATATTATGCTTAACTTCTTACAATTCATGTTTTTAATCAAGATTGTTTTTAAAATATTCTGATTCTGAAAGTTAGTAAGTTAAATTCAAAATGTAATCGAGATTTTTAAAGTAACTTTTAGATGAAGTGAGATTCTACGAGGGTTAGGGCAGAAGTCATAGCAACATTTTTTTCTAATAGAAATGTTATCGGATCACACAATTTTATTTGTCGCATGAAAGAAATGGTGCACTAATGTGTGTTCACAATAGACGGCTCTGTGAATGAGCATATTTAGCCTAGTAGAATTATACAGTTTTGGTAACTGATACATTGGATACTGTTAAAACGGTTATTGTGTTCATTTTTGATGCTCAGTATACAGCAAAACTATTAGACTTGCCTCTTAAACGTTTGTGTCACCTGTTGGATCGCCTGAGGTGGGTCGAGATCTGAGGATCCACCCCCCCCCACCGTCCCTATTATATTTTGATAAGCCTGAAGATAGCACAGTATCTTCGGAGAATTTGCATCAAGCGCGTATTTATGATGGGATTAAACGCATACAGAACATTTAAGATCCAAAGAATAGACGTTCGCAACGAATCAAGAAGAATACGATTCCATGTTTTGTGTCGGCGCGTCATGCAGTTGCGCGGCATCATGGCATCACGTATCCCATGCAATCTTTGCATGGGA